GCTAATATATTTAAAGCCCCAGTTGGCCCTCGGCTACCTGTAGTTGCACCATGTAGTTGCACCATGTAGTTGCACCATGTATTTTCCCCTTTTCGGGGCATGCATTATGCAGCTAATCAGTTTTAATGCGCTTTCCATCGAAATCCAGTGTAAGCTTTCAGCTCGAGCGCGCAAAACAAATTAAAAATTTAAGTGAAAAATGCGGAAACAAAAACCCAACGAATCTGATCGAATGTTTGCGAGTAAATTAACTCTCTGAAAGGCTTTATGAAAGGGGGGGGGCTTAAATTCTCTAGGGGGTTCTCTGGCTAAAAACCAGAGTTATGGTCGTCAGTCTTTGCAGAGGGGGTTTGCAGAAGGGGTCCTGCCAAGGCGACAGTTTGATAAACTGGAGTAGCGCTTGAGATACTAATCAGCGCTTCGCTTTTCGCTTAACAGGAAGCAATAAATCCTGCCAGGACATGCCAGGATATATGCTCATACACACATATAACATATATATAAGACTGTGTGCCTTCCGCGCCCTTGTCTGGAAATTTTAATTAAAAGCGATGACACAGCGAGTAATTCAATATCAAAATGTCGCCTATTAATTTTAAGGACATTTCCTTTATTGATTCACTGTCAATATTATATTGAGCCCATAATTTACACATAAAAGGGCTATGGCAGTCCCCAAGTCCCCAAACCCCCCTCGTTTTCCTTAAGCAGCCTTTGTTTGGCTGGCTTAATTCATTTAGACATTGAAATGTGGCCGTGTGGTGGGCGTGTTGGCCCTTTTTTGATGGCACCCACGCACGATATGATGTGCGTGACTTTATGGGAAACCGAGAAAAGGAAAGTCGGGGACATCTACCCGCTCTTTGATAGCCAAACATTTCAACTTTACGCCATTTTCATGCAAAGGCCAGCCAGCCAAACAAACAAACACACAAATAACAATGCCAAATGGCCCCGCCCCCTTTCATTTTTGCCCACTTGATTCTGATTTAACGCCCACCGTACAGTGATTACAACAAACAAACAACCGAAATGGAAATCCCAGTTAATTTAGCCATCTAAACGCGCTTGTTATCGATAAGAAAGTGAGTCACGCTCCGTCAGGGAAAAACACGGCAATTAATATGTCCTTTTTGATAAAGTAATAAAATAGAAGGGGGAGGGGGTTGTTTTAACCCAACAAGTTAAACGACAAGGCAAATAACATTCAGGTTAAGAGGCGGAATGAATAAGAAATTATGTTTAAATATTCATGCTGTTTGTAGACATTTTTATGGATTTATAGGACAAGATTTATTGACAGGAAAAAGCATTTGAGGGAGAGAACAACATGGGTATTTGTTTGTTGAAATGTTTTCTCAATCTGATGATTTTATAATGAACTTTAAATTAAATAAAAAAAATTTCTGTTCTATTAGATTTGTAATAATAATATAGAAGTAATAAAATAGGGTTGAATCTCTTGAGATAAGACTTTCAAGATATGATAAAAACTGTCACTTTAACCATCTTGACCGCTTTGCATTTAAGCCCAGCCAGACATCTAATCGGCAAGCCCATGAACTATTTAAACGCCCTTTTATAACTTCAGCTATAAACCTATATATGTAGGGCTATCGACTTCTGGCCGATGGAATTGATAAACAGCCTGAGATAGGAATTAAAGCAGCTGGAACTGGCACAAAGGCCTAATGCTCCGAATGCCAGAGAGGCCAAATAGATAGTTATAAATATAGACAGATAGAGATGGTAATATATATGTATGTATATGGTGGGTTTCGGGGAGCGATAGAGACAATAACCCGAAAGCCAGATTCCATTTGAATGGCCAACAGGAACCCATAAACCATTGGCCAAAGCGCACACACTCGCAAATACACACACAATTGTGGCGACAGACTGACTGTCTTTGGCACACCATAACACCCCAGCCTCCCCTAGTAAAAGCCAAACACCCTTTTCGTACCCAAAAAAATACACTCAAGTCTATAAGAATCAATCTAAAATTTGCTTGCTTACTCGGAATATTTCACTAATAGGTCTTTTACAAATGGAATTTATTAATATAATCCCCATGAATCAGTTTATTTTGGGGGTATCTTAAATGTAAATTATTATTATATTTAAAAACATTAAAAAAATTTTACATCAAATTTATAAATTATAAAGATATAACATCAAATTCAAGTTCTTTAAAGTTTTAAATTAAGTCAAGATCTTAAATGTTTTATAAAATATGTTATAATATAATACCAAATTCCTGTTCTCTTAAGTTCCAAATTAAGTCAAGTTTTTAAATGACTTATAAAATATTCAAAAACCCCCCCAAATGTTTTTAAAATATTTTAAAATTAGTTTTGAATACCATACAAATTCTTCCTGTGTAACCAAATTTTGTGGGTCGTTGAAATAAAAGTGTGATAACAATAAATTAAGTTGCTGTTGCAGCATAAAAACGAATTTACCAAATGACTGAATTGTATTTGGGTTTTGGGGGGAGGGGACTGGATGATTTGGGGACTATGCAATCGGTTGACGGATCGCTGGAGATGAAGTCCTGTAGAGGATGGGAATCGAGAGGATTCGGCAATGTCTCCATTTAATTTGCGCCCATTTGACTCTCCGTTTTGGGGCCAATTTAATAGCATACTTTACAGCGCTAAGCAGACAATAACAGCAGCGCAAATAGGAGGCAAAAAGAAAGGGAAAAGGAATCGCCGACAAGCGACAAACAAACAAACAAAATGAAGTGACGTCGCCGAGTCGCGGCTCACAAAAACGGACGTTCATTGTTATGCCAAGAAAAGCAACACGACGACCCGAAAAGGAATTCAACAGAAGCCAACAGAGACAAAGGCCGAGATGCCCCGGGTTCAAATGCCAAATTCGAGATACACTATCTGCTGCAGATTTTCCAGGTCACCATTGCAATGAGACAGCACTTAAAATCATAATTGGGAAATATGTTATATGGTTTTTATGTTATTGTGGCTCTGTCAACATTGGTTACCTTTTACAATGCCTTCACAATTTTCTTTAAGCAATTTAAAATGTTAAATTTAATAGAAACTTATTTTATAACATTTCGAATAATTCCCAATCAGCACCAATAATTAAATTGGATAGTATCTACATTTTTTGAAAATTATGTAAGTACACCAAATATTAAATACCAAAGATTAGATTTTTTGACAAAGTTATAATGACATTTTCTGTTTTTTGGTCTTACTGGATTTATTATAAGAAGTCTAAAAAATAGATGTTTCTAAGTATGTTCGCTTTGATTTCATACAGAAAACAATAAGATGCTTTTAAGCTTAAATAAAAATCTTGTCAGTTTTTAAAAAATCTAGTGAATGTCATAAGGCCTTTAACATCATTCAAATTATAAATAAGAATAATCACAACTTTATCTCCAGCATTATTGTACTTTTCCAATTAATGTGAATATTATAAAAAAGCTTTGATAAAATGGTATACATTTAGAACTAATATTATGATAATCAATATTATTAATTATTATCATTATTAATATTATTACTATATTATTATTAAATAAACGTAATATTCTAAGCCAATCTTTATTCTAATAGATATTCCTGACTTTTAAGTACCATATATGCGGCTTGCAGTTTCTACAAATATCAAAGTATATCTACAAAGACTTTTTAAAAGAAATCCAGTCAGTAATTAAAAAATCCAATAAATGTCGTAATTACTACAGCTCACAATTTAATCTTTAGCATTTGTGTATTTCTCAAATAATACTAGAATTTGAAAAGGCATTGATAAAGAGGTATACCGAGGAACTAAAAAATGGTTATCAAATATTCAAAGAAATCCTACTGAGTTTAAAGAACCATATATGCCAAATGCAGCTTGGATATCGAATAGTGAGTTTAGCGAGTCTTATAAATACGATGACCAGGGTATCCCCCGAAAGTCGTATTACCCCTCTATGGATTCATAGGGTATTCGCTATGATGGCAGCCAACAGGAAGCGGGCAACGGTTCCAGTTCCAGCGACTCCCTTTTGAACTTCCGCTTTGGCTTGCAGCAATTTCTTTGGGCTTTATTGCCGGCCCCGCCCCCTTTTTTGGCAAAGGCAAAATCCCCCTGCCGAAAAAGCTCCGTTACGACGCATATAGCATAAATTTTGAATACGCTCAAACTGCTCAAAGGGGGCAGTCAATGGGGGTACTGCCACCCCCCAAAAAAAAGAAGAAAATAGCGAAAATTGTCTGTCGCTTGATAAAGCGGAAGCAGAACTTGCCCATAAACGAAATGTGGCAACTGAGTGTAAACTTTATTGGCGCCAGACTGCCTGGCGACATCGCTGTTGTCAAGCTCATCCCTTAAACCCCCCTCCAGAATCCACTATCCCAGGATCCAAGGATCCCAGCAGCCCAGTATTCCAGCATCCCAGCATCCCAGCATCCTGGCTGCTTTTTTGTGGCCCAGTTGGACGTTGACTCATGCGACACGCAGGATAAGCAGGACCAAAAGGACGACCGCCACCAGATCCGATGGCGTCTCGATGGCTGGCAACTAAAGTCATCGTTTACCCCCCAGAAAGAAGCCGCTTGTTTGTTTTGTCTGACTTTGCCGGTGACTCTCAGTCTGTGGGTAAAATAAGTATGAAAATCGAGGAAGTCTTACATTAGTTGATTTCATGCGCTGTTTACATTGGCAGCGAATTATGCGCATTGAAAAACCGAGATTCGCCAGCCAGCGGGTGTTCGCAGTCCTCCAGTCCTGCAATCCTGCACTCCTAAAAAAAATCAATCCTGCATATGCAAAGGGATCTGGGCTTGGCGAACTGGGATCTAAGATCTGGGGATCTGGAATTTGGTAGCATAACGGGCTGACTGCTCCTTGGAGTCAAATTCGGCTGGCACTTTCAGTTTGTCTAGACTTTAAGCTCCCTGGCACCTCGGTGCTTACCTTTCTGCTTTAAGGCTCTAAATTTGATTGGTATTTTTGGTCTCCTTTATTTTCAGAGGTCCTGTCCAGTTGGGAGGAGTGGTGGACATACGATGGCATATCCGGTAAGTGGTTTGAAAGTAGTTTTAAGGGGTGACAATCACAGCAGGCAGAGATTTTTATCTAAAGTAGGTGGAACTAGGACCCTTGAATAATTTTATTTTTATATTTTTTTAAATCCCATAATCCCAACAGATATATATTTAATGAAAATCCGAGAAAACCTTCTCAGGGTTTTTTATAAGTCCTATTTTCTTGGCTTCCTTTTAATACATTTTTGTTCTGATAACCAAATGATTACATCTTTTTATACTTAAATAAATAAAAAAAAATTTCATAAAATTTTTTTAAACACCTATAGTTAGGAACTTTTATATATTTAATGGATATTTCCGAGTATCTTCTAAATTGTGTTTATAAGTCTTATTTCCTTGCCTCCTTTTATTTAATTTATTTTCTAAAAACCAAGCAATTAAATCTTTATATAAACATATTACAACAATTTTTAATTTTAAATTTTTCCCAGAACTTAAAGTTAAGAACTTTGATATATGCAATGGATATTCCCCAGAATCTTCTAAACTTTTTGTTTACAAGTCCTATTTTCCAAATGATGAAATCTTTTCGTGAATAAATCACAATAATTTCTAATAATATTTTTTTCATCACTTCAACTTAAGAACTTTCCTATATTCAATGGATATTTCCTTCTAAATTATGGTCCAAGCTTTCCCAACAAACATTCATCCATCCCATTTTTCCTTTTGGCCTCCCTTTAATCAATTCCTTTTGTGAATGGGCAAACGTTTAAATCTTTATATGAATAAATTGGTAAAACTTTCGCACCCCCTTCGGATGCTGTGGCTGATTTAATTACATTTCAAATGGTTTGGCAACAAAAACGCAGACAGAGCAAACAAACAAACAAACAAAAGGGGGTGTGCCATGTTGTTGCTGTTGTAATTGTTGCTTGTCACTGTCTGCATATTCCCCTTTGACCCCCGATGCAGTTTTCACATCAAAAAAAAAGGGAGAGAAACAAGCAACATGCAACTGCAACAGTAGCAACAAATGTATGCAAAACACAAAATGAACAACGGCCACAAAAGCGACAATTGCGGGGTGGTGAGGTGGGCGGTGGGCGGTGGGTGGTGGTCAAAGTGGGCGGATGGAGTGGTTGATAGGTGGGCGGTTATTGGGCGGGTCAGCTGCATCATCACAGAGCAGTTTTTAAACTTTGGCATTTATTGCCGCCGCGTGTCATCAAAGCACCCACACAAATACGGCGAAAAAACAACCACACCCACAAACAGTTAGCCATCGAAACCAAATTGTAGAAAACGGAATTCGCAGCCTGGAAGTCCTGAATGTTTTAAGGGTTCCATCATCTAATAGAAACAATATGGAAAAAATAAGAAATATAGTTTAAAGTATTAAGTTAAAGATTTCAAAATATTTGAAAGGTAATCTTAGCATATCATTATTAAAAATGTATTTTTTTACCTTAACATTAGTTTAACTGCTTAACAAAAAAAGACCAACCTTTAAACTAGCTATTAGTTATAAATGATATATATTTCTTAAAATAATATTTTTACTCAAAATGAAAAGAGTGTTAAACTGTTTTCGACTATGTTTACCAATCAAATCGAACTCCTATTTATTTGCACACCAGGAACATGGAGGAAAATATTAAATTTATCATAAGGCACAAAGGTCTCATTCCTTTTCGTTTTCTTTTTTTTTAACAGAGACCACAGTTCAGCCCTTAACCACATACCCCTTAGATCGCCCATATAGGAAAACACATACAAACATATATGGTGTAGCATTGTTTGGAAAACTTTCGACAGTTTTCAGGACGTCACATCGGAGTTTGAAACCAGACCGGCCGAAAACCCAAACAAGTGGGGGTGCCTCTGACCCCCAACGGTGCATTTAATTGCCATTTAAAAGGGGGTCGATGGGGTCAGTCGGGGGGAGCTTATGAAATTTCATTTGGCATTTGGAATTGTCATCGATGTTGCTGCTGCAGTTTCAGTTCTGTTCCTGTTTCTGTTTGCATTGGGCGAAGAGGCGAAGACACGTTTTCCATTTGCTCGATTGACAGGACACTATATAAGGCAGGGGCGCAGGAACAGAGGGGGGAGCAGCCCAACGAAGGGGCGCCCAATAACCAATGTATAAGGCCAGGGTCAAAGGGGAAATACTCTTTTACCCTTTATGGTTACGAAAATCCTATGAAACACTCCCTGTTTAATTTGAATCCTATAAGAGGATTTTTTTTCGGTTTTAATTGGATTTAATAAATATTAACACTATAAAATATAGGCTTTTATTTGCATTTTATCCTGAAATATAATACGCAATTATTTCAATATATTCTAAAAAAAATACAGTTAAAAATTTAACTATCACTGTAGTTATTTGAAAATTCAATACTCCCTTGCCTAATTTAATGAAAAAATATTTGTGTGACTAAAATTAATTAAAATGGATTGTTACCTAGCTATAATAAACAGTTTTATTCTATTAAAAATAGAATCTTGAATTTTCTTTTTGTTTACTTTCTTTTTAATAGTCTTTTCATTGATCACAAAGAGTTTATTGAGTGTAGTATGCAATAAAATATTCTTATTTATTTATTATTATTATTATATATATTATTTTCCACTAAGCATTCAGGAAAGGTCCTGTGAATAGGGTGTATGACCCACAGAAATGAAAAATATTCCATAGCCCACACACGTCACTGTTTTGCTCACTTTTTGCGCATGTGTCCGTTTGAGCGGCGGCGACTCATCCTTTTGCATCCTTTTTTTTTTGGCAGGACCAAGCTTCTGGGGCCTTATCAATCCGCAGTGGAATATGTGCAACAAAGGACGCCGCCAGTCGCCCATCGACGTGGTGCCCGACAAGCTGCTCTTCGATCCCTATTTGCGGCCCCTGCACATCGACAAGCACAAGGTGCGTTGAGTATGACCCATGGTACTTGCCCAAAAACTAAACCGGATGTGCCCCCTACATATTATTGCAGGTTTCCGGCACTCTGCACAACACCGGCCAGTCGCTGGTCTTCCGGGTGGACAAGGACACCAAGCAGCACGTGAACATATCCGGCGGACCCCTGGCCTACCGCTACCAGTTCGAGGAGATCTACATCCACTACGGCACGGAGAACGTCCGCGGGTCCGAGCACTTCATCCAGGGCTACAGCTTCCCCGGCGAGGTGAGATCATTAAAAACCCTAAACTAAGTGCTTTGATCTTTTGATCATAAATGGATATGGGGAAGACAAATTGAAAGCAAAATCACTCACGATCTGCATCACTTTTGGAGAAATTTATATTTTGACAAATTTTTGCATTTTTCTAAGGGTTTACATCATGATTCTTTTGATTTCAGATTTTATTAAAAAAAACTATTTTTTTAAAGTTTTTCAATCGTAGCTCAGCCAAATCAAGGAGTACAGCTACAGGACCAACTGTTTTGAACAGCTGGCTTCCTCTGCTAACGATCTGCATCACTTTTGGGGAAATTTATTTTTTGACCAAATTTTTCATTTTTTACAAGGGGTACCATCGTGTTTTTTGGATTTAGATTTAAGATTTTAGTCAAAAAAACACTTTTTTGCGGTTTTTTAATCGTTATTTAGCTAAAACACGTCGTACAGCTAAAAGAGCGACTGTTTTGGACAGCCTGCTTCCTCTCCTAACGATCTGCATCACTTTTGGGGAAATTTATTTTTTGACCAAATTTTTCAATTTTTATCATTTTTTTCGTGTTGTTTTGGATTTAAGATTTTAGTCAGTTTTAGTTTTTTTTTTGCGGTTTTTCAATTGTAATTCAGCTAAATCAAGTCGTACAGCTAAATGACCGACTGTTTTGGACAGCTTGCTTCCTCTGCTAACGATCTGCACCGCTTTAAAGGAAATTTATTTTTTAACAAATTTTCGCATCTTACAAAGCGTTTTTATCAAAAGGAAGATTCTTTTAACCACAAAATCTTTACGCTGCCAATGTTGCAAAATTCAAAGAAAAATAATGGTTAACAATTGTCTTGAAATAAATCCCCCGTTTCAGATCCAGATCTACGGGTTCAACAAGGAGCTGTACCACAACATGTCCGAGGCGCAGCACAAGTCGCAGGGCATCGTCGGCCTGTCACTGATGGTGCAAATTGGCGAGACGCCCAATCCGGAGCTGCGGATCATCACGAGCACCTTCAACAAGGTGTTGTATCGAGGTGAGTGAGCGATTGGGTGCTTCGACCTTCCGACTTTCAGCCAACCCAGTGCCCCAGGTATCCGGTATCCAGAACCGAAAAGCCCGAACCCAAGCCACCAAGACCACCTTCATTTCCGTCTACGCAAAATGCTACCGGAAATGTTGCAATGTTAATACCGTTGCAAGTTGCCTTTTCTTCGGCTGCTCGTTTTTATGATGTCATTGCAGCGGCAGCAACAACAACTCCAGAGGGCCATAATTATGTCCAGGCGAGCCATAAAAAATCGAAGGGCAAGGGGGCTGGAGGTTCGGCCAAATTGAGACTGGCCGACCAGCACAAAGTGACGAAAATGAAACCTCGAATTACACTAAACCGACACTTAATAATTCCCCCCCCCCCCCCCTGGGTAAGACCACGGCACGTCTCGTTGGCATTTTCTTGGCCAGTTTAATAGCCTTTTTACAGGTCGTACAACTTTATGGGAGCCCAGCCCCAGCCTTAATTTGTAAAATGCCAGGGCGAACCGACCGACAGAAACCGAGAGCCAAGAAATATGCCAGGCCAAGCGTAATACAGGATACAACAGGATACGGCTGTATAAGCCATATAAAGTTTAAAGTACTCAGATTGGGGATACTCTTTTAAAAGTAAAAGGGAGCTTAGGAAAACTATTGGTGTATGGAAAGTGTGGCCTTGCAAATATAACCAATGTTTAAAATGGGGAGAATATATTTAAATATAATAATAATCTAATATGGGATCAAATATGGGAAATATATTGGTATTAATATAATAAATACAACATTTAAAAAAAATATTAAAAGTGTAAAAAAATAAAATAAAATTATATATTGAGTTTCGTGTTAAAAAAGAGTGCTTAATTTATTATTTAAAAAAGAGAATTAAAAAAATTGAAAGATGAAATTAGCTTATATATCAATGGAATAACATTTAAACAAATCTTTAAAGAGCAAAATAAAATAATAGAATGGTAAATTGAAAAATGTTAGAAAAAGTGCAAAATGAATTATTGTTAAAATATATTAAAATGTTTAAGCATTTAAAAAAATGATAGATGGAATACTTATGGAGTTGTAAAGGAACTTTCCAACACTCACAACCCTCTAATCCTGATTGAAATGCCCGTGAGATTCCTCTTCCAATCAGCTGATTGATGTGAGAGTATCCCCTTAGAAAGTAAAACTAACACTTGCAATGCAAAAACACTGGCTCCAAAAGTGGAACTCCAATGGAACTCCATTTTCTCCACCACCGGATTCAGTTTGACCTGGGCTGCAAGCCGCGAGTTGTTTTATTTCCGGCTGGCAAAATGATTTGTATGAATAAAGCGGAGCGCTGACGTTGAAGTGGTCAGGTTGGCAACTGGGAACTGGGAACTGGGGAACTAAGAACTGAGAACTGAGAACTACGAACTGGGAACTGGGTGGTGGCCTGAATTATTCATTAGACCCCGGCAGACGTGTTTTCATATTTTTTGTGCGATATGCGCATAAATAGCCGGGGCCACCCACCTTGAACTTAGCACTTTATGAACCCCCCTCCCAAATCCATCTCATCCGCAGGCTTCTCCACGCCCATTCGACACATATCCGTGAGGTCGCTGCTGCCAAACACGGATCACTACATCACCTACGAGGGCTCCACGACGCATCCGGGCTGCTGGGAGAGCACCGTCTGGATTATAGTTAATAAGCCCATCTATATCACCAAACAGGAGGTGAGTCGAGTAGGTCCCATTCCCCCATAAATATATACTACCCCATTTTGCGAACCGCAAATAATTAAATGCATTTCGTGTGTTTTTCAATTGCAATTAGAGCGGCTTGTACTTGCTGGTTTATTTATGTTCGATTCGAATCGATTCCATTTTTTTTTTGTTTTGTACTTTGTACACCCCTCCCATTTTTTTTATTGGTTGCTGATTGGAAGTACAATGAAATCGCATAAATGCAATTATAAAATTGCTCATCAATTTGGGCATTGGTCAGATCGCGGTGGAAATGCGGTCAATATTCCGCTCTGTGCATAATTAAAAAACAATATTTGGTTAGTTTAATCAATTTGCATAAATGCATATGAAACATGTGTAATGGCCATGCCGCTGGGGTCAAAAGTGCTGGCGAAAAAATACTCAAAGTAAATGAGTAAACAATAAAATAGGACAGGCAAAAAGGTTGGCCAAAACACATTAAGTGGAATGTAAACAAGTCAACGAATGGCAAGTGTGATTTTCATCAAGGTTTTTTGGAATTTCAAAATTTTACATGAGCTGGTAAAATAGGTGAAAATATTTTAAATTACTTTATAAGATTTATTATTAAAGGGAAAAAAACTTGAAAATATTTCAAGTATGCTCTATTGGAATTAGACAAAACTTTAGTTGTCATATCAATTAAACACTTCAAAATTGACAAATTGCACAGGGAATTCAGCACTCAATTTAGTGGCAAATTAGTGGCTCATTTAACGAGCTAGACAGACCACTTAAAAACCCGATATTAAGCAATTACCAATGTATTATATTATGTTTATATTCCAGTTGTACCAACTCCGACGACTGATGCAAGGCTCCGAGAGTACTCCAAAAGCTCCCCTAGGTAATAATGCGCGACCCGTGCAAAGTTTACATCATAGAACCGTAAGAACGAACATAGATTTTAAGCGCAACAAGGTGAGTGTGGCATCGCCTTAATTAACCTATTAGCCACACGGTTGCCAAGTGGACACATGGACACCGTTTTTATTTGCGGCCACATCATTATAGTATTTACACATTTTTTGTTCATTTATTTTTAATGCCAGGGCGCGACGTTGGTTGGGCACAAATTTTATCCCTGATTACTTTTTTATACATAGTTTACTTACATGGCAGTATTAATTCTGTTAATTTATTTTTAATGAAAAAGGTGGCATTTTGTGGGCACACAAGGAGTGTAAAACATGCCAGCGATTTTGTAAACTTTTGTTTTATTTTTTTTTAATATTACTAGTTATTAATACTTAACCAGAATTATTTTAAAATGTATATATTGAAAGAGAATTAAATTGTAACTTAATATTTGTTTAAAATCTGTAACTATGTGGCAACTCTTTAAGCTGCCAAAGCGTTGCAAACACTGTTTCAAGTGTTGGATAACGTGTAAAGTTCGGCAGCCTTCAAATAAAAGACTTTTTTCTTTAAGTTGATCACTACTTTACGTTTTTAGTCCTGCAACCGTGTGGATACTTTTTATAAAACACACTTTGTCTTTCGAAAAATACTAAACTATTGCATCTTATCAATCTTATCATTTTTTTTTCATGCCTTCCAAAAAATATCTACAGAATCAATATGCGTGCCCCTCGATGTACAAGGATATGTACTATCGGGCGAATCGATGGTCTCCGGACACGGGACTCTTGATACGTTGACAACTGGGCTGGGAGTGCTGCGAAAAGCAATTATTATTATTGCTATTATTATTATGTGTGGTAAATAATGTTACAGCAATTACAACTATAATGACAACAACTGGTTACAAAAACATCAACAACTGAGGCTGGCAACGAAGCATTTTGCATTTTGCATTTTTTATGTCGCATTCAATTTTTATATTCATGTTTACAACACGAACTCAGGATTCGTTTGGCTTGCAATTGCAATATTCCTACAGCAGCAGCAGCGGCAACACAGCAATTTGTATTATTTATTTCATTATTATTAATAATACAACAACGGGACAAATTTAGGTAACAAATGCATGCAAAATGCGGAAAAAATGCTTATAGAGCGGGCATAACAATAGAGTAAATTCCATGCCAAACGCAAATGCTAAATTTAGCAAACAAAAAGCTGACACACAGAACCTAGCAAAAATAGCAAATAGCAAATAGTAGCTGAAAATTTGCGTAAAAATTGTATTGCATACATATTTTTTTTGGGGAGGGGGGAAAGTATTAGAACTTAATTCAATGAAATTTAAAACAATTCTTGTTTTGTCTTCGATTTATATTTATGCGTAAAACAAAGAGCACGAGTCTATTATAGTTTTTATAGATGGCTTAAATTTTGCTAAATTTAAGAGCGTTAATTAAATAAACCAGGAATGTAGCTTAGTAATCACCTGCTTTTCAAAAGATACTTTTGTCGAACAGGAAATCTGGTCGATTTAAAGGCTTAGATCTAATTTAAATATTTTCGCTTCAATGCATTCTATAAATTCATAATTATTTGTGATTTGCCTCTTTGTTAAAACGCCGATAGAAAAACAATTCAGAAAAAAATAGAAACAATGTTAAAAGCAACAAACAAAAAAAGATTGACAACAAAGTGAAATAAGAGAATTTCCGTAAACTGGATGGGTGGACAATAACTAACAAACAAAATGAAACGAAAGGTAAACGAAGAGTTGGAGAAGAAATATAAACAAATGGTAACAGAAATTAACAAAAACGTAAATATTCATATAAATATACACAAAAGTAAAGGTATCTATATAAAATCATATATATACACACATATATACACCACTCCATCAGGGAAACCACAGATATCTTTGGAGATTTGTATTTGTATCTTTAAGATACATACCAAAATCACAGACATCTTGGACAGATGACATCTTTTAAGGAGTTTAGGAAAACCTCTAGAGATTTCTGTGGCTTCCCTGTATATATATACACACTATATATATATGAAAAGGGACAGTAAAGTAACTAAAATAAAACCATAAACCGAACTACTAAGCAATGCAGCCAGGAGTTGAACAAAAATCGGTGCACTATATCCGATGGCTATGTATAACTCCCACACCCTTAGATACACCCACTCACATACACCCAAAAGCATCTATAAACGTCTATATACTTGGCTTCGAAAACGATGATCTGGCTGGACATCCCATCCTCTGTAAGCGGCCATCTATATATATCTATATAAATCTAGTCACCAGTCATGGAGTATACAACTAGCTAAATGGAATGGGCTACAAAACGTAATCTAACTCTAAAAGGCATTAGAATAAACTAACTAAATAATTGATTAACTAGCCGTGTTGCTAACAAAAAAAAACCCAAGAAAATCAAATTCGAATTAATGAGTAAACCAAAAAACACGATCTATATATATATATATATGTAACGACATTTTTTTTTGGAAGACAAGCAGTGTTGTAAAGTGCTGTAAAGACAAGTATTATGGCTAATGTAGAACCTAAGTTACTGAATAGCATTTAGCAGTTAGCACCACCTGAGTTTGTATAATATACACACGAATATATAGTATACCAAAAAAAACATATATATATAGAGTTATATATATCAGATCCGTTCAATTCCCACATTCGCAGCTGTCGAGCGACACTTTGTGCAATTATTTCTTTGGGCCAACAACCAACCAACCAAAACTAACTAAGGAACATACTAACTAGCCGACCAGTTAGGCCCCCCGATTATATGTAGAGCATTAACTATTTGTATAAAAGCTATGGGGATCGAAACGAATTCCTCAACTCGGTAACACTTTGCTACGACTGTAAGTTACTATTGTGTTGCCATATGAAAAACCAAAAATATTACAAAAAGGAGCAGAAACTATATATATACATATATATATATATATATATAAATTATACAAATTCTATATATATGTAACTATAAATGCAAGAATTACTAAGCATAGAATGGGCTAGCAGCAGTGGGGAGAGAAGGTATTGTTTCCCGAGAAAAACAAAATTGGAGAATGCAAAACTAATAAATGAAATGCGAAAGTATTATATGAAAACCAAAGTTACCGATTTGTTCTTTTACTTTTGGGGGGTGGGTAATCTTTTCAGGCAGTCACTCCAATATCCGGAACTCCAAACAGAAATGGAATTTCAAATCATCTCCAGATATTTGTGTTGGGGTGAGGATGGGGTAAGGACTTTACATTCTCTAGATGGCAGGTTCCTAATAAACCAAACATCCTGGCGAGTGATGACTTCTCCGGAATTCGGTTCTGGTTTGGGAAGTTAATTCGATATTATTGTGGTCTGATCGAATCGTAGGTCTACCGCAGATAATTATGCCGCTGTACATTGTTCTGTGCACTTCAACTAGCTAGTTAACGTATTATTAATATGTATTATTAATTAAAAACATCACATTAGTCCAGAATTAATATATATTGACTAGGGCTTAATTTTTCACCGTTTAAACATTTAATTTGGAAGTGTAACCCCAATTGGAATGTCCTTGTAAAGGTAACAAATAATAATTAAATTGTCAATCGAACATTTACTTTATTATTTTTAGTTTAATTTTATTAAGAATCATTTTATTTAATTTAGAAAAGTTTTTTTTTATAAAAAAGGTGATAATAACTGAAGTGTATTTTTCTGCAAGTGTAGTCTTAATTGGAATTTCCCTAAGTAGATGAACAATATTAATAATATTATCAATTTAAATATCACAATATTATTTAATTTAATTTATTAATTTTAATTTTAATTTTTTTTTTATCAATTTTTGATTTAGAAGTGTTTTTTTTAAATCTGTTCCAACTATGCAATGAAACTTCTCAAGTAAGATAATATATCTGAAACATTTTTCTGCAAGTGTAATCCCAATTGGAATAAAAATATTATTAATTTTAATATGACAATAGTCAAGAATTTAACCATAATAAAATTCATTTAGACATATTATTTTAAAAAGCTGTTCCAACTATGCAACACCTCAAACTACAAAAAATAAGTGAGACATTTTTCTGCCAGTGTAATCCAATTGGAATGTCCTTGGGCAGTTGAACAATAATAAATATTATTAATTTAAATATCATTAAAAAGTTCAGAGTTTAAATGTTTTTATTTTGGATTGAATTGTGACCACTGCAACATTTGTCCAGAAATTCCAGCTATGCAAACTAAGAAATTTTTCTTCCAGTGTAATCCCAATTGGAATGTCCTTGGGCAGCTGAACAATAGTAATAATATTATTTACTTCAATATCATAATAGCTTAGATTTCATTTTGGATTGAATTGTGACCACTGTCACAGTTGTTCAGAAATTCCAGCTATGCAAACTAAGAAATTTTTCTGCCAGTGTAATCCCAATTGGAATGTCCTTGGGCAGCTGAACAATAATAATTATAGAAGCGAGTGCGTAGCGCAGTCGAGTGCTTAGAAATGGGCCAGCAACAAAAACACACTTTATTTCCGTTTGCTGCCACAATGACGACACACACACAACTATGCAGTCACCCACACACTCTCAGAACCCACACACACACACTCAATGCGATGGACACAGTGGGAATGGCCTGTTTAAATATGCAATTTCAATTTCCGAAAAACACAAAACGCGTGCAACACGCAGAGGATTCACAGCTCAGGATTTCACTGAATGGCAATGGCAATGTGATGGCTGCCATGGGTTAAAGGAGGAAAAGGGGTTAAAATGGGGAAAGCGGAAAGGCGGAAAACCGGTGGCGATTGGGAGGATGTAAAATTTGATGTTGAATTTTACCAGGCAATCGGAAATGGCGGATTTGAGCGGCGGTTGGGCGATGGCCGCATGTTTAATTGGACGCAATTGAAACTAAACTAGCGTAAAATAGAAATAAAAACACAAATAGAATTGCTGCTTGCGGCCATATGGCCGTACAGCCATAGAAATTCATTCGTTTCGTTTCGTTTCGCATAAAAATTAATTACAAATTAATTTACCATAAATTGCACTGAGCACTGAGCACCGAGCACCGAGAACTGGGCGTGGCTGGTCAGTCGAGTGGCCCGAAAGTCGGCCCCAATCACTGGGCCATGGCCCAAACGCATTACGAGTGCGATTTTGTTTTTGCGGGGAGCCCAAAAGTCGGGAACGTAGCTCTCTGCCATAAATACACATAACGACTGTTCATTAGCGCCCCTCAAAATTCGCGCACAGTGGTCACTCGTTTTAAAGGGAATTAATTCAAGCAATCAGTGGCGGGTCTGCTGAAATGCGTTGATTTTTGGCCAACCAACTGTGATTCTGGTAAGTGCGGATAGGTGAGAAAAGTGTTTTTAAAAGAGGTTATTGGCAGAAGTTAATCAAGAAAGAAAAATATATTAAAGCTCAATGAAAAGAGGTTAAACAATTTTATTTATTCGCTTACAACACTCTAAATAATTATTTACTGGCTTAAATTGTAGCCCCTATGTTCAGTATATTTTTAATTTAATTATATTTATTTTATATTTATTTTATTATAACAAAATTCCTTTATGAAACAATACGTTCTTGAATTTGTATTGTACTTTATTTTTGTGCATTGGATTTTTAATAAGCTGAAAAGTAATCTGAAATAAGAGAACTTAAAACAAAACCTAGAATCACAAAAATATTTTTTTATATTAGAATCTACAAGGAATATAATAAATTTTAATAATAGGTCACCAACAATTCATTTACAAACAGCCATAGCTTTTCATTAAACATTAAACTTTGCAATCGGATGCAGTTATTTGCCTTGAAAAATATTTGAGCGATTTGGCCAACATTCCTCTGATGGGCACATTAAACCGCCGAAAGGCATGCTTTTTTCCTACCTCCGATTTTGGCCATTGTTCGGTAGCCTTGGGCCAAAAAAAGGGGGCGGGGCATTGAGGCATCAACCGCATTTTACGAAATGCGGTCAAAAGGACTAATTATGCTAAACGCCAAAACCGCAACAACCAGTTAGCCATGGCCAAAACCCATCCGCTTCTTTTTTCCGCCACTGCAGTTGTAACTGGATGTTTTATATACATATTTTTTATGTGTTTTTCTGCGTTGCGATAAACCAAAAATTGTGCACGATATTTCAATTAAATTGGTATGCCGATGGCCATGCATATGTAATGCATTATGATTTTGGCCACATTTTAGCTGCATTTTGGCCCGCCCCCAAGGAAAGTTTTTAGCAATGCGGAAAAAGCGATGGGCGGAAAGGGCCGGACATGTAAATAACAGCAAAAGTTTTAATTAAATTTTAAATACAAGTTAATTTTTGTGTACTCTCCATCTCTCTCTCTCTCTCGTTTTGTCTGGATTTTTTTTTGGGGTAAATCCATTTTATTTAACTTTGTCTATTATTTATCTTTGTGTGCACGCCGCGTTGAAAATGAGTTTTAAATATTTAGTTGTAATTCATGTTTAGTTTGCATTGTTTGCGGCCTTAAAATCGAAATTAATATTCATGAACCAGCGGCGCCGCTTCAGCCGTTCAAATTTTAATTAGAAATAAATAATTCCAGCACTTGTTGCACCGACAGAGCACCGCACACATGGCCATGACCATTGCCATTCATAATCCGCAACGCATTCAGGTGATTTGCAAGTAATCATGTTGTACATTTCCAGGCCACACACAGCGCATATTGATGGCTGGGCGTCTATTCTCGCAGCGAATCCCATTCAGATGCCGATTCTTAACCAGATCCTGATTCCAATTCCTGCTCCTTTTCCAGTAATAAACGTGCGTAATCAAGCCATGGCCAGGTATATCTGTCTGAATGTCGAAGGCTCACAACAAAAGCCAATGGCAGTGCACATGTGGTGCACTGAGAGGAAAATTGGGGCACTTGCCCTTGGATTTGTTCCTCTAGTCGGTTATAGTTCAGTAAGCATATTTCATAGCATACTTTTTGGGGCAGGCTTACTTTTTCCTGTCACTCTCGCCAAAAATAGAATTGCTACAACTAAAAAAATCTTTGAATTGCTTTATAAGGGCTGTATTTAAGGGCTTAATAATAAAACTATGATTAGAGAATATTGCACTTTTTATTTTTCCATGGAAGCATATTTCAGAGTATATTTTTTGGGGCAAAGTGAGTATCACTGTCACTCTCGCCAAAAATCTAATAGTTCCTTCTACGAAAATCTTTATATTGCTTAATAATTTGTATTCAAAGGCTTAATAATAAAATTATTTGTAGAGACTATGGAACTTTTAACTTTTCCATGTAAGCAAAATTCATAGAATACTTTTTGGGGCAGAGCTAGTTTCACTGTACATCTTGCCAAAAATCGAATAGCTCCTTCTACAAAAGCTTTAAAATGTTTAATAAATTTTATTTCAAAACTATAAAATAAATCTATGATTAGAGAATTTTGATCTTTTTATTTTTCCGTGTAAGCATATTTTATAGCACACTTTTTGGGTCAGGGTCTAGTTTTACAGCCTCTCTCACTTAAAAATTGAATAGCTCCTTCTAAAAAAATCCTTAAATTGCTTTCTTAATTTTATTTTAAAGCTTAATAATATGACTTTTAATAAAAAATATATTAAATTTTATTTTCCGTGTATGTACCTTAGCACCTGCCTTTCCCTCTTGCCAGCTGTAATATTTGATTTTGATTGAAGTGCAGTCAGGCATGTGCGGCCAAGGAAAAATCGCACGAGACCTTCTGCCTGTTGCCTATTCAGGACCTGTCAGACCCGAGTCCTGAGTCCTGAGCACCGAGTCCTTCCTCCTTCCTCCGTCCGGAGCTCAAGACGAACGCATAATGAGTGCCTGGCAAAGCCGGAGAGACGGGTTGCAAAAAAAATGCATTATAATGCCGCCTGCCAACCGACATGAACGTGAACGAACGCCTCCGTTTCCCCATCCTCCCGGTTGCTCCTGGGACTCCATTTAAGCTACGTGACTATCTGGTCAGGACTGCAGCCAGGGATTCCAGGAAACTGGTTCCCCGAGTTCCCAGAAAGGCTTAGCGAATATGCATTCTTCCGCTTCTGCTATTTGATTGATTGATTGCTAATCCTGACGCATTTTTTCCATCCCTTCAAATTTAATTTAATTAATATTTTATGTTGACTAATCGATATCAATCACTAGGAAGTCGTATTGCATGGGGTCAAGTTATGGGTCGGGTAGTAATAGCCTTTTAAAAATGACAACCTAGAGAAAAAAGGATCTAAAAGTAATAACATTTTATGAATATATATATTAAAGCATGCTTATGTTGCCATAAAAATTAAAAATAAATAATAATTCTCTATTAATTTTGAAATTTGTATATAATTATGGAAAATTTTCAAGCGGGTTCACATTGAAGTTTAATTAATTTTACACCGAACTGGTATACATTATAAAGGTAAAAACACTTAATAAATAAATGTGGGAGTATTTTAAATATATTTTAGACTAACCTTATGAGTTCTGGAACCTAATGTAAAGCTGTAAAATATATTCTTTAACTGCCAATCCAAGGAGAACTAGTTCCTGTGAGGATTCAGCTTCAGGATTAGAGGAACCCTTGGCCGACTCATCTCGATGCGAGCTGACAGCCATCCTGCGCCTGCCCCCAAAACACGTTGAGCTCCTTTCAGCCCGGGGCTAAGCCATCTCCGACTTGGATTCGGACTCCCGAATCCCGGATCCCCAATCCCCAACCCCTTAGCTTCCCCTTTCGATGGCTGCTGCACTTCTTCAGCTTCGACTTTCTCCACTTTTTCACGCCAGGCAATTTTATGGGCTGCATAAATCAGAGATGGCCTCCCCCAACCAGTCGTCTGTGGGCGTGGCAGGCAATTTATACATGACGACGTTATTATTTGGAGGCCCCCCCGAAAACTACGTAAATACATATATACAATACATACGTTTATATAGTTTAGGCCTTGGTAACTGCCGACACTCGCTGCGCATGAAAATTTAAAACGCAACAAATGAAAGAAAATGTTTCGGCTTTTTTCCAAGTTCCCCTCTCATTTTTTTTTTTTTGCACCCTACACATTTCCAAGTGGCTTTCTGGTTTTGACTGCGAATTAAGGCTGGTGGCAAAAAGGGGCGCAGGACGCAGGACAAAGGACGAAGGACGAGGCCGGCTCTCTGGGCCACAATTTGTTTTGGCCCGTTTTTATTTGGCTGTCTGAGGCCGGCGCTGCGAAGAAAGAAAAAAAACATTTAGGCAACTTGGCCCTTTGAAGGCTCGTGGTCATAAATTCCATTCTCACCACATTTTCCCAGCCTTTGCCGCCTTTTCCAGCGAGTCCTGCGAGTCCTGCGTTTTTCATTTATTCGTTTCGTATTCCTTGCCGCTTTTTTGTTTGCCATTGGCAAGGGGCCGGCACAAACATTTCCGTCTGCCAAGGTGCAAAAAAAACTGTGGCAGCATCAAGAGTCAGCCAAGGCAGCTAAAAATTAAATTGCGTTCACAAAAAGTCGAGCATTAAATGCTCTGTAATATTTAAGAACAGCTTTAGGGGTTATTAAAGGTGTGGAAATTCAAATAAAATTTATATTACATTTTACATTTGACAATATAAGCAAAGTTATAAAATGGCTGAACTCATCTTAGTATTTCAAAAGGGTCCTTTAATGTATTTATTAAAACTATTATATGAAGGAAATGTATGGATATATATTTTGTGTTTTGAAGTATAGTATATCCCATAATATTATATCTTCTAAAACCACCTAAACAGACTGCACATTTGTGCCAAGAAGCTCCATTTGACTGGGCCCGACCTGACTGGTAAAAGCCAAACAAAGCACATTTCTGAGTTGACTTCGCCTTTGGTCCTGCCTTTGGTTTTGGCCCCTCGTCCTGGCTCCTTTTTCAGCCAGAGACAGAGACTGCGATAGAGGGAAATAGGGAATCTAAAATGATAATAAAATATTCATATTAATCTGCTTGGCTCATAAAATATTCAGCTGCGTAATTGTTGGCATTACGTTCGAGTCGAGATCCGGGGCAGCCAGCTATGACGACAGTCGTGCCGGCAGTGCCATCATCATCATCATCATCCGCCCACCCGCCGAGGAAATGCCAGGGAAAATCTTACAAGTTTTGTAATTTACACCTGGCTGCCCACTTCATATTTCCACCCCACCCACCCAAAACAAAAAAAAACATGGCAAAAAAATCTGCTTTAAGGAAAAAAAGCAGGAGGGTCAAATAAACAAAGGGAATAAATAAAAATATTAAATTTAAAAACAAAAGAAAATGTATTAAATAAAGTATATAGGTAATAAATATATAATTCCCTTTAAACTAGCAAATATAATTGTGTAATATATTGTTATAATGTAAAGTGTAAGTAACAAAATAAGCAAAGGGAACAAATCAAAATATTACATTTAAAAACAAAAGAAATTATGTTAAATATAATATATAGGTAATAAATATATAATTTATTTTAAATTAACAAATATAAATGTGTAATATTTTGTTATAATGTAAAGTGTAAATAACAAAAAAAACCAAGGGAATAAATCAATATTTAAAAACAACAGAAAATATGTTAAATAACATATATAGATAATAATTGTATACATAATTCCCTTTAAATAAGCAAATATAATTGTGTAATATTTTGTTATAATGTGAAGTGTACATAACAAAAAAGCAAAGGGAATAAACCAAAATATTAAATTTAAAAACAAAAGAAAATATGTTGAATAAAATACATAGATAATAAATATATAAATAACCTTTAAATTAGCCAACATAAATGTGTAATATTTTGTTATAATGCAAATACCAAAAACAGCTTTAAGGCTAAGCTCAAAGGGGAAACTGTATCAAAGGATGAGTTATACAAATAAACAAAGGAAAGTGAGTGAGCGAGTGAGTGAAACCAGTGCCAGTCATTGGCAATCCCATTAAGCTATTCATAATTGCTCATAATTTCGGTTGATTTCATTAGCATATGTAACGTTTTAATTTGATGTGGGAAGCCCCCTTTTCCCACACACCCACCCACACCCACCCCCACACACATTCACATTCCGCACCCGCAAAACTCATATGCATAATCAATGGAGCCTCATTAACCTGTCGCTGTCTGGTGTGTTATTGTTGTTGCCCGTTAATTACGCAACCCATAAAATATATATTGCTTCTCATCGCGCTTTACATCAGAATGACGTCGATTAACACCTCATAAATGCGCGTGTGTAGCTGTGTGTAAAACCTGTTAATTGGTTTAACGTTATAAAATTGAAACCGCCGACGTTGTTGTCGGAAGTCGGAAGCCCATGCGGCGTATGCGTAATATATTCCCGAACCGCCGGAAAACAGGGACTTCCCCCCGCAATGAAAACCATCTGTGTTCCCATCCGTGATATCATTTTAAATAAACTTAAATAATATTGAAACACAAAATATTGTGCTACGTTTTAAGTGGAAAATCCTCCAAGGATGATTTTTAAATTAAAATATTAAACTAACTAAATAATTTTATAGTTAGTTATGAGGTACTTTAAGTAAAATTCATAATATATCCTTTAGGCTTAATATAAATGCAATACAATATGAGTTGTAAATTTAAATAATAAACTAACTAAACAATCTTATAGTTAGTTACGAAATACTTTAAAGAAAATTTATTATAGATCCAATAAGCTTAATATAAAGGTATGTATATCATCAATTTAAACAAAATACATTTAAGATTCGCAAGAATGTGCACTTTTCAAAGAGATTTTATTAAGTGGAACGCATTTGACCATTGATATTATTACATTTGTTACCTATTAGGGCAAAAAAAAAGCAGAACCGCACACATGCATTTAGTGGCTTGTGTTAATTATGACATTTATTCACCGACTTTGCTATTCCCGCCCTTAGAACACAGCCAATATATATTCATATCGCTTTTGAAACGGATACAGTTGTGGCTTTAATTTGATCTGTTTCCAATAATAATTCATAATTGACTTGATAATGGACTTGATATTAATGTTAATTAAGCCCGAGCGCAGGGCAATTAGTTTCGGGCCCAGAAACTAGCAGCTTTGCCAGTTGAGGCCAAGACAAAGCCCCAAGTTATCCATGCAAATTCATGACTTTGTTCAGCATTTCCGCTACACATACCCACACAGATGAACAAAAATTGAAACACGAATTTGTTGAGCCTGAGACTTTGGCAAGATGTGCGAGGGCAGAGTAAAGACTTCTGAAATTCATTAACAAAAATAAATAAATTTTTTTATCCATTTTGTAAATAGTAAAGCAATGGACATTTCAAATGTGTTATACATTTTCTTTTAAATGCTCATATGTTTGTACTCAATTTTTAAAAGTTTTTCAAAGAATGAAACGGGCACACCTTTTTTTATCTTAAACAATTTTTCATAGTCAATTTCTAAAACTTTTTTTTAATACAAAATCCATAAAAATAAAACACAGCATATTTTGTATTAAAAGAAACCATTTCTTAAATGTCTTGACATTTTGCACAATTTTTTTATATATTTTTTTAAATGTTGATACATTCCTTTTTTGTTATGATATATGAAATATTTGTTAATAGGTTACATTTTAATTTATACCAAGTTTAGGTATTTATCAATCTTCTCATGAAATAACCATCAAAGAAATATGGAAAAAATCGTATAACTTTCAAGATGAGATAGTGCAACTTTACCAGGCTCCTCCAAATAGTCTTCGACCACCCCTCGATTTTCGACTGACCATCTGACTCTGTCAACTGGCCGCCCAACAGCGCCGCCTCCTTTATCCCAGTCATCGCATCTTTATGAAGCTGAAGACAAAATTGTGTTGCATCGTTAGTCTAATTGCATTTTGCCAGGCGACAGTAACAACAGATTCGTGTTCTGCTCAACAGTTGCCTGCATATATGTATCGAATATACGTACATATAAATCCAGATGTATATATTTTGTATATGCAGGCATGCGTGAATGTTGCAGGAATCAAGGAATCAGCCTGCCAGCAGGACACGTAGTCCTCGTCCTGCAAAGGCTGACGGCTGATGGCATTTTTTGGTTATTAAGACGATACGACTTGGACCCACTGCACCATCGTCATCGTCACACACACAGGAACACAAACACCCAAAGCCGCACACACACGCAACACAAGCACACACACACTGCCGAGTAATAACTAGTAATTTTGCAACGTTTATGGAAGATGGAGGAGGTCCAACTTTTGACTCTTGATTTCTCTGGCCCAAATGAACCTGACCAACTCGCAATAGCAACAACCGAGCATAACTGGCATTTACCAAATCGATTCAGATGTCAATGGACTTGGGGATACCCTGTGGGAGGTCAAAGATCTATAGTTGATATATGTGGATTTCGGAAAAATATAAATATTATTAGAACAAATATTTTGGAACAGGTATTTAAACTATCGTATCCGGAACTTCAAATTCTTTGTATGGCAAAATCATTGTAATGGGTCATTGTTGATATATGTAGATCTTGGAAAAATATAAATATTATTAAAACAAATATTTTTTAACATGTATTTAAACTTTCGTATCCGGAATTCGGAATTCTTTGTATTCAAAAATTATTGTAATGGATCAATATATTACATAATAGTTTCTATGGCTCTTAAAATAAATACATATTTAAGATACAAAATTATTATGCAAATTATTTTAAGTATTTACTAAAAAGAGTTGAAAATATTGCAAATTATAAAACACATTTAATGGGAACTTCTCCTCAGTATTGTGTATTTGTTGTGATTATCAGAAAATGGTTACCTAATGATTACTAAATCCAGTATCTGGCTTCAAGCTCCTCTGACATCCAAGAAGATCCGAGTCCCTGGTGCTACCCTCTGCCCACCGAAGTGTGGCCCGCAAATGTGTCGCATTCAAATGAACCAAAACTGAATTGTGTCTGAGCCGTCGCCCCCCTTTATCGCCCCTTTCCGCACGCCACTGGCCACTGAAATCCTGTTGGCACATTTCGTTGTAGATTTTTGATATTTTCATTACGTGCATCTGCCAGTTACGCCTCTTTGTGTGGGTGTGCACTCGAATGTATATACATATGTACGTATATGGGTCGGGGGTTAAGGAGTACATAGAATGTCGTACATGTGTCCTGGCCTTGGTTAGTAGTTTCATTCTGCCCGGATTTCAGTCGCTTAATCTCTGCTGACATTTGGTGAAACAGCAGAAGCAGCAGCTCCAGTGAAAAGAGACAGATAAAGAGCGGCCCTGCTGATTTACAAGCTTATGAATGCGAAACAACAAGGGATGTGCAAATCTACAACTCAACTGGGCTCTTTTCTTCTGCCAAGCATCCTCATACTTTGCCATCTGAGCTCCTTTCATAGGCAAAATATGTCGGGTTAAACAGTTGCAGTTGGTGTAAGCTGTCGGATATCTCCTTAATATTTAGATGTCCACAAAATTCGCATTGAATTGTATAAGCTTTATAAACAGATGTACATAACCTCTTATAAATTTTTTTTTATTAAAATCGGAGTTCTATTTTTTCGCCCTAAAAAGCCTGTGTTTTGGCTGGCATAAAGCAAATATTGGTCAGAATGAGGGATGTCATATTTCGTTTAGCTCGTGGCTTAATTTCCAATAAATTGGCGTTCAAATATAGAAATTTTTAATTGTTGTTTTTTTTTGCAAAAATGGATGATGTATAAAAAATCCGAAAATTGGTCAAAAAATAAATTGTCCGGAAATGGATGCGGATCGTTAATATAAGAAGCAAGCTGCCCAAAACAGTCGGTCTTTTAGCTGTACGACTTAATTTAGCTGAATTATGATTGAAAACCCGCAAAAAAAGTGTTTTTTTGACTAAAATCTTAAATCCAAAAAACCCCTTAAAAAAATGCGAATCTCAAAATCTTAGTCCCATTTTACTGGCCCAAAAAATCAGTGTTTTTGCTATCATTTGTTAAAAATCAAGTAGCTTTTTGGGATTTATTACGTACAGCATTCCAAATCACATCATAAAAACGAAAAATTTTCTTTCGACCCAATATCGAAAGTGTCGTCATGGAACATTGCATGATTAATGATCAACGATATTCGCCTGCTGTTGCTGTCCGGTCTGCTCTCCATTTTCCAGTCTCCGCCTCTCCATTCTCCACTTATTTTCTCTCCACCTTCACTTGCCATCTTCTTAACTTTCTTTTCCCTCCAATTATTGCTCGTTGTCTTCACTTGTCACATTCTTCAATATACATAATCTTCAATATCCAATTTCTATTTGTTGTCTTCACAATTCTGTTTTTCAATTTGTTTTCTAAGCCTTTCCGTTTCGTAAATCTCCAGTTTCTTCTCTCTACATTTTCTTTTCTGTATGTTGTTTTTGCTTTCTTCTGTTTTCTTTGTTATTAAGTCTGTTCAGTTTATATTTTCTGATGGAACACCTCGAACTATCAATTCCGCGCTTTCTACTCTCATTTTCAGATGGTTGTACTACATGCTTTCTTGAATCCCTTAATAGTTTCTTATCTTCATATTTTGTTATGAATCTTCACTTTCCTCCCTCGATTCCTCACACCATTTTTCTTCAAATCTCCCCTATTCTCTTCCCTTCTTTTCTTCGCCACTATGGGCACCAAAACTCACAAAACACACAATCTTCTCACCTCTGGGCTTCTCTCCATTCTTCAGCTGTGCCTTTACCATTCTTCCGTTGATCACTAACCCGATCTCACCACATGACCATCCTGATGGCGGAGCAACTGAATCCTGGGCACCGTGCGCCAGAAGAGAATGGCCCCCCGGTTGTGCCCCCCGCGGGCGTAGAGATCGGTGAGGCAGTCGGCCCAGTGGTTGTAGAGCGGCATCCTCGGTGGCTCGCAGGCAGCCAGTGGTGCTCCGGTTCCGGCCATGCAGGCGGAGGTCACCTCCATGGGATACACCAGGAGGCTGGCCACCATTTGGATAATCACCGAGTTGTATTGCTGCTGGTTACGGCTCATCGGGATGAGGCGAAGGCACAGGTGAGTTAGTAAACTGGTGATGGTCAGGACGCTCCATTCGCCCAGGAGACGGGGCAAGATGCCAGCAAAGAGTCCAGCATATCCCTCCTGCTTTATCAGGGTCATCAGGCTGGCGAGGACTCCCTCATAGATTCTCTCCTTACCCACAAACTGGGCTATCTGGCGCACCATTACCACGTAAAAGGGTTGGGTCAGCACCACTGCGGTGGCCAAACGTAGACTATCCCTGGCGAAATTCCACCAGAACTCCTTGAGGCTTGGCTCTTCCCGGGGAGCCCGTTTGTAGGGATGAAAGTGCAGGAAGGCCAGCACCAGATCACCCAGCAAATAGTCCACTGTGCTGGCGGCCAGGCGAGCGGTCAGACCACGATACATCCCCAAATAGCCATCCATCCGCTGGATGTGCAGGACATACTGGTGGACACCGGGCAGGAAGAGGCGTGGCCGACGGTGCAGCAGGGGCAGATGGAAGGGCCTGGCCTGGATGGGTTCGTGGCCCAGTTGGATGAGCACCTTGGCCATTTCGTAGGGATAGTAAAAGGAATTGTAGGCCAGGCGTAGGCAAAAGCGCACCAATTGATTGGGTTTGCCATGATCTGGTGGCTTGCCCGGCGATGTGGAGGAGGCGGAGGTTGAAGGGCCCATCTCCACCTCTGATTCCTGGCAACTGCTAGTCGGACTGTCCCCCTCATCCTGGCCAGATTCGAAGGTCATCTGGGAGCTGTGCTCCACCACCAGCGATTCGCTTCGCCGGTGACGCACCACCTGAGGTCCATGTGGTGTGGTGGTGCGACGCATCAGGGCACTGTTATCCGCATCGCCACCACCCATTCCCAATCCTCCTGCCTGAGAATCACGACGATTGTACTCCATGTGGTCCATTCTCGAGTCCCTTCCTGAATGCAGCTCTAGCTCAAAAACTCGAATTTAGTCGAACGATCGAAAGATCTAAGCGAATTCTGTTTTAATTGAACAAGTAATGCTTATCGACAGGCAAACAGACTTTGATATATGATTCGAAGGCAACTGGGTTATCTCGACATTAATTGATATTTCTAATATTTATTAAAAATAGTAAATTATTATTTGATTTATTTAATTCTTACTTGTTTCCTGGTTCTAAATGGGGTTGCTTATAAATTAGTGCACTACTCACAAAGACAATGTTATAGTTCCCTATTTACTTATATTATGGCAATTAACCATTAATAATGGATTTGTTTTTCTTATATATAACACTTAATTCTTTTAAATTTTAATACAATTTATAGAACACTTCACATAATTGTGGATTCGCTAAATTTCATTACTTTAATAAATTCTTTTAGATTAAACAAATTTCAGTCAAATTACTCATACCATGTATAAAATGTATCCTTTTTTAGGGATAAAGATTAAATTTCCTTGCCATATTTAAAGAATTGAAATGAACTCATTAAATTCGCCAGCGGTTCTTTATGGGTTTCATCTTACCACTGCCATCTGCTCGTTTTGTGCCCCAACTTGCGTTTTTCTTCTCCACTTGATTACAAATCCCGGAAAATGGCAGCACAGCCCCTCCCCCTGATTTCCACCCCCGCCGTCGGCTCTCACTTACTTTTGCAACATGAAATTTCAATTAGGCTGACCCCGCAGCCCTTTTGCTGTTTTTCTGGTCAATTAAATGCAACCATATCGGCTGCCCCTGAACTCCGCAGCCTCATCTCTGCCCCATTTGCCATAACCTTTTCACTTCTCATCGGATTGCATTTTGTTTTTTCGAAAGCCGTTAAAACCTAGTACCAAAATCGAGCAAATCAAGAGCCACCGAAAGCTTAAAATTCCTGTAAAGAGATATGAGAGGTTAAAGCTGTTAACAGAAATATGAATAACTGGCTAGCAATTACAAAGGTAAAAAAAGGTCCAACATTTATGGGACTCGAAAAAGCTGCAGAGCAATTTGCTATAATTGCTCCTGAAATAATACAAATATTTAAAGGTTTTGATAACATTTTTCCCCACCAAACGACCTTGAACCCAGCCAAAAGTAATTATCCCACTGCATATCATTGTTTGATGACCCACAGCAATTTTCCACTTACTTAGATAGTCCCGGTTCTGTTGAGTCAGTTGAGCTCGACCTCTGGAGCATGGAAACCAATCACACAACCCAGTGCCCAATCGCACCCCCCGACTTAACCCTTTTTCCACCAACCGGCCTTAACCCCCAATGGCAATCGCATGCAATCCATTCCGACCAAGCGACCGAAAGCAAATGCAACTTATGCGACACGCACAGTTGATTAACAATGTCGCAATTTTTGAACCGAACCAACGACGAAATCACACCCAGGGCTAAAATGCACGGAAAAAAATGCACTTCAATTTCAAGTGCATATATATAGCCCCATTTATAAAATGGAAACTATACAAATTCGGCAGTTTTATAACTAAATATTAAATACAATATAATGTATTTTTAAGTATAAGGTAAAACAAACTGGTTATAATATAATGAATCATTAAGAATTAAGAGTTTAAATTAAGTACAACACATTTTTAAGCTTGTATAAAAGAAAATACATTTATTTAATATAAAAGGTAAAGTTTTTTTCAAGGACCGTAAAGATTGTACTTTTTATAAAAGGATCTTAAAAATAATCCAAATTGGAGGTTTTTATTTTTGTTTTTATTTTTTTTTTGTTCATGAAATGTATATTATTTTCATTTTTAAGAACTAGTTTTAAATATTTTATGGATGATATAAATAATAAAATATACCATTAATGCTTCTTCAGCTCTTCTTTAAGGCTTAAAACCCACCAGGTCTGGTTTTTTAAAATAAATTATGTTACCCTATTTCTTCTGAGTGTACCACCCACCCACTGAACCAGCAAACCACCCACCGCCCTTCTCCACACGCACTGGCACGATTATTGCACATCACTAATTAGTGATGTGTGCGACGCATCGCGCCTAAAATTTCTGACCATCAAAAGGGGGTGGTGGGTGGTTGAAGGCGGATAAGGGATGGGCATCCAAAGTGGGTGGTGGGTGACCAGTGGAGTGGGTGGGGGTAGCCGTTGGCAGAGCGAGACCTGACGTTGACATTCCACTAACAGTGAAATTGTTTTCCAAATCCTAAGCTTGCATGTTAGCCACATGCAACAACAGCAAGCATCATCCCGAAGGGGGTTGGGGGTGCTGGTGGGTGGTTGGGTGGCTGGGTGGTGGGGCAACCACGAACGGCAGCAGCGAATGAATGGCAATGAATGCGACACTGGACGGGCGGACCAACTGGACGGCAGACAGGCAGGCAGGGGCATTTTCAGCGCCATGGCCATGGCCATGCATCACCGATGGCCACCGCCAATAGAGCACCACCCTCACCACCACCACCACCCAGTCGGCCCCACCACCACCCACTCACCAACACCACCGCGCTGCAGCGGATCCCACGTTGCGTGTGTGGTAAATAGTGAACTGTTCGCATTTTCCCTGACTCCCTCGCTTTGGTGGCTGCAGTGCTCTATAAGAAATATAACCTATCAGCTATTACATCTTCGTAATATTTTTCATTTTATAACACTACCCTTTCAAAAGAAATATAAATAATAAGATATTTAATAGATAATACCCAATTTCAAAACAAGTTAATCAATCTATATTTGTTTAAAATAAATCCCACACTTATAATACTATAATATTCCAAATAGTATTGCAAAAGGTTCTGCTACAAAAAGATAAACCGCTTTCCAACACTGCAAATGAAATGTAAGCCAATCTACAGTTATACTCGATGTCAAACACAATCCCTTCTTCTTGTTGCATTTGCACTCAAACAATTTGTGTTTTTTTTTTGAAGAGTACCGATGGCGGTGGTCGTACTGAGGGGTACTGAGAGTTAGTGGACAACGCTGCTGTCTGGGGATTAAAACTGCCGGATGCAGTGCGGAAATCAAAATGCTATGGCGGCCAGCCATCGGACACAACTGACGAGGCCCATTCGAAAAAAAAGTACCCGGAAAAAACCCCGAAACGGTTCGAAATCAAAATGGAACTCAGAATGGGAAACGGACGAGGATTCGGGGGCGGTAACAGCAGTTTAAATGGCAACTAATCGCAAAAGGCAGTAGCTCCAACTGTACAGAGGGAAAAATACTGTCATCAAGAAGCCGTTTTGCAACACTCACTTAGTATTTATACCCGTTACTCGTAGAGTAAAAGGGTATACTAGATTCGTCGGAAAGTATGTAACAGACAGAAGGAAGCGTTTCCGACCTGATATAGTATATATATTCTTGATCAGGATCACTAGCCGAGTCGATCTAGCCATGTCCGTCTGCCCGTCTGTTCGTCTGTCTGTCCGGATGAACGCTGAGATCTCGGAAACTATGGGAGCTACGCTATTGGGATTTGGCGTGCAAATTCCTGAGCTTCTTAGGCAGCGCAAGTTTGTTTCAGTAGAGTGCCACGCCCACTCTAACGCCCACAAACCGACCAAAACTGTGGCTCCTACAGTTTTGATGCTAGAATAAAAATTTTAACTGAAATGTAATGTTCTCATCAATACCTATCGATTGACCCAAAAAAAGATTGCCACGCCCAGCCTAACGCCCATAAACCGCCCACAAACTTCAAAAAATCGAAAATATGAACGTGGATATCTCGGAAACTATCAAAGATAGAGAATTGGGACTTCAGATTTAGATTCGGTAGCCTTATACGCAGCGCAAGTTTGTTACGCGTATATGCCACGCCCACTCTAACAAACCGCGAAAACCTGTGACGCCCACAATTTTTATGCTAGATAAAAAATTTTAACTGAAATGTATTGGTCTCGTCAATACCTATCGACTGGTCCACGCCCACTCTAACGCCCATAACGCTTAAATCTGTATACCGCCGGTAGGTGGCGCATTTTAATCTCGCTTTGCTACTTGCATATCTCTATTTAGCTGAGTAACGGGTATCTGATAGTCAATTTTATTAAATTGAACATTTTCATATTTAAAAGAGTCAAACTTATTCGTTAAATTAAAATGTTACTATCTTTATCAGTATTATATATAGTTCGACAAGACCAGTTGCTTCATAAAAATTTAGTATTTTTTCTTTTGCAACACTGGAATTGTATTGGATTATTCATTTTGATATACCTAGAATTTGAAATATTTGTTCTGCACTATCTATTATATTAAAAATTCAGAAAAATACAATAAAATAATTTTGTAAATTTGCCAACACATTTTCTCTCTGTGTGGCAGAGCGCATCGGACATGGCCACGTTTAGATAGCCATGTGGAGGTGTTTGCATAATGAATGAGCCCCAACCAGTGGCAACAACAGCCGCTGACCATCAACTGCGGCTCCCGAATTGGAAAAGTGGGCGGGAAAGTGGGGAAAATGGGAAATCGGGGAGGGGGGGGTGGTAGTAGTGTCGACTTGGTCTCACGCACAAGACAATGAAATCAAACGACAAACGCAAATGTGATCAATTACAGTTTGTGAATTTTAACGGCAAATGGCCAGAAAGCCATTGTTGTGCATTTGCGGTGGGGATGGATGGTGACTCTGGCCAGCCAGGGTTGCCAGCTCCATCTTTGCATCTGCATCGCCGCATGGCTGAATGTCTGGCCGAAATTCCGGACAACCCGGTGAAGGGCAAGGCAACAAGTCATTATTGTAATTATGTTAATATTCACCCCATCCAATGCAATGCAATCCAGTCCCCATACTATCCACACCCAGGACATCCCGGGGAGAGTACGTGCCCCGGGAAAATGGGGCTGTGTCAACCAAGAGACTGGAGAGTAGACTAAACTGCTTGATGGCCTGCTCATATGGCCGGAAGTCTGTCAATTTGCGTATAATTTGTTTATGAGCTTCGCACACACACACACATCTCCAAAAACGCCTCCAGAGCGGATAAGGAAGCTGGAAATCAGAGCAAGGAAACGTTTTGATTTCATTCAGCTACCTCAGTGTCTCTCAAATCCCAGCCACAATGATGCTCATAATAATAGCACTGCCAGTTGGAATATTTCTGCATAGTTATAATATTTGCAAGTATAATTTAAACACCCAAATCACGCTTGGTATACATTTTTTTGTTGAAATATTAATCTCTTTCTTTAGTTCGCTTTAAATTGCACTTAAATTATTAGTTTAATTAAAATTAAAGACATATATTAACACAAAATATTTTACAAAAATCCCAAACTTAAAAGGGCAAAGAAGTTCTATTATTTTACCCTTAACTGTGTCACTATGAGCTTATGACGCAGTCGTTTCTTGGCATTTTTAAACACTTGAGTGGGTCAGGAGTTTACCGGGTGTGGTGCCATGTGGTGGAGTGTATTAAAAATGGAAACATCAATTCAAACATTTAAACCAAAACAAATGCAGCCAAAACTGAAAGGCTTCGATACAAGCTTAGTTCAAATTCAATGGCAAAAGAATTCTTGGAATATTTTTTGCTAAATGGAATTTGCTAGTTTGAAAAAGCTGTATTTTTTGCATTAAGTGAGTTAAATTTGGTAGATAGATGAAATAAAAATAGGTTACATTTAAGATCAAGAAAAAGTAAACAGTAAGCAAAAAAAATAGTAAAAGATGATTTGTTGTAGCAATAATATTTAAGGACTAAACAAATATACATAAATAAGTTCATTTATAAATTATTAAATATTTTAAAAATATATATATTTTTTTGTGTAAGAAAAAGGAAAGAAGATTAGTGTTCTATGAAAATTTTCACCCAGCTGCCATATCTGTATTAAGCAATCGAGTCAGTTTTCACTTCTACTTCCTATTATGTTCAGGTCCTGATTTCGGAGATCTCTAAACAATCGCGAGCAAAATTCCTTATAGACAATCAGGCAATGGCACGGTATCTGACAAAGATCGTGATTCTGGGTGCCCAGGTGGTGGGGCGGGCGCTGATGAAGACGCTGCGCCAGGAGCTGCAGGCCTTCGAGGATGCGGCCCGAATGCACGAGACCATGACGGCCAACTCGCGCGACAGCAGCAGTAGTGCGAGGGTCAAGGGTATGACCCTAGTGGAGGCCCAGCAGATCCTCAATGTGCAGGACCTGGGGGACCGTCAGGCCATTGACACGCACTACCAGCACTTGTTCCGGGCGAACGAGAAGTCCTCCGGCGGCACCTTCTACATTCAGTCGAAGGTCTTTCGGGCCAAGGAGCGCATCGACCAGGAACTGGCCAGGCTAGAGGAGTTGGCCAAGGCTAAGGCCACCTCGCATCCTGCATCCCCACCTGCAGCCCCATTCCCATCCCAAGGCGAATCCCAGTCCCAGGCCAAGTAGCCAGGCCACCACCAGAGCCGGTGTCCAATCCCAGCTGAATTCCCGGCCTGGCTTTTCGTGGCGTTCATCGATCTGTCCTGTAATCTCATCCACCAAATCGTCCTTCAACTTCTAGTACATGTGTATATTTAAATAGTCGAATAAATAGCGTAAACTTTTGTAAGAGATGATAAATAAATACAAAATAAAAGCAAAGATATAAACATCTATAAATATTTACAACGTTCAAGAAAAGTGGAAGACTTTTGCGTTGCCAACATAAAACCAGGGGTCGCAATTTCTTTTTATATATAGTTCTTCAATGTCTCTGATTTTTAGTAACGATGTCACTACATTTAGTTTTGTTTTCTTCAATATGTGACTAATTTATACATACACACTTATGGATAAGAGTGTTATTCTTGGCCTGAGCGATTTGGAACTAAAAATCTCATTATTCTTCAGAAAATAAAATCAACATATAATGAATATTTTTATGAAATATAACAAAATTCTGTTTATTTCTAGATCCAATTAAATTCAAATGAGAAGGCACATAAAACTAATTTAAGGCAGTGTACAAATCGAAATCGGAGCAAAATTAGCGTACGATCTAGTAGCCAAAAAATGCATCAAGTTAGCCATGAAATTAACTGTCAAGTCGAATATCGATTCGGATTTGGACGTAAGGGACAGAGCCCCAAATAATTTCAGTTTCGTTTTCGGGCTCGACAACGCAACATCTCCGTGTTTAATTAACTTATTTAGGCAAGTGAAAAACAAGTTTTTTTTTATTTTATTTATTTAGTTTGTTATTTTTTACTCTCCGGTCTAACAAAGTGAACTTTTTCATTTTCAGATATGTGAAACACTAAGTTTACCTGTAGAATAGCCCCAGGATGTAACGTGACCAGTCCTCCGTAATACACACCTACACACTTGGTATTTTCACACGTGAGAGCTCATATCAGACGCCAGTAACCAAAAAAGTCCTTGTATAAGGCAGCTAAGACTAACAGAACTTATTGGATGATGTTATAACTGATACAGAAACAGTAAAACACACTATGTTCAACACAAGTGACGTAAAGTTAAGACTCGTTGACTTGGTATGGATGGAAGAGAAAAATCCCCAAATATCGCCAGCTACCCTCTCAAAATTATATAGTACTTAAGGACCCAAAACGAAACTGTCACTTTTTAACAGACACGCCACCAATTTGGGTAATATATTTAAACAAAATGTATTTACGATCTATTAATCCCAGAACTAACCCCTAGGAATTTAAATGCATGTGCCCTTAACATGTACAACCTCCAACAGAAGGACGCCTGTCACTCAGGGACCCAATTACGAAACTTTCACTTTTTAACAGACACTCGTGTAATTAAGGCTGCAACTAGGTATCGTAGTACCGATCTAATAATCTTACTCTTTCTAGGAAATTCTATGCATGTGCCCTTAACATGTAAGCTTAAACAGAAGGAGGACGTCTGTTAATCCTGAGGATGAGGTTGGTACTACCATTATAGAATCTTGGGATTAAATTTAATAAGCCCTTGTCTTTGCAGCTATTCCAGGTATCCACATAACTGGGGCTGCGCGATAGAGGATGAGGATTTGCATCACACTCTAAAATAAATATTGAACTTTGCATCGAATTAAATTATCATACCTGCAAACTGCTGAAGAAGACAGCAACGCATTGGAGTACACGTATTATAAAATGTTTTATTTATCCAGAAACTTTAGCACATAACGATTATGTACCGACACACACAATTGTAAATCACACATCGAATTATATGCATGTACAGAAGAATCGTAAAAACAATGTAACGTAACGTAACGTAGCCAAGCCAATACTGTTCAGAACGTCGACCTAGTTAAAATAAAAATGTATACCACAAAATGCTTAAAAAAATGCTATAATAATTTAATAATTAAATGTAATATGGTGAATTTTTTTATGAGGGTCTACCTACAAATGCCGAACTACGTACTTGCCTATGGCAAGACGGACATTGTTAGATCGACTCGGCTAGTGAGGATGAAGAACATATATACTGTGCAGGGTCGGACAAGGTTACCACCTGTTGCATAATTCGACGAATTTAGTACTACACCCTTTTACTTAACGTGTAAGGGGTAAAAAGTACTAGCTCTAAAAAGTGCTATAAATTGACGCATATGGGTTGATATGGTGATATTTTAGCGGCAAATGCATTTATTTCTATTTGTAAAAGCCTTTTCTCCTAGTTAATAAAAGGTTTACAAGCCACTTAAGCACCTAAAAAATTATAAAATCTTTAAATTAAATCTGTAGCTATTAGCATATTAGCTATTTATTAAAAGCTTATAAATGAAACTAAGTACCAACTCTCGAAAATATCTTAAATCTAAATATTAAATGTGGTTTTTAAGCAGCGTCTTCACAAATTAAAAATTTCGATTTTGTTGTCCAGTGTAATGGTAATTTTCGGCCCCTGAGTATTAGGTCCAGTAAAATTAAAATAAAACAAGGAAGAACGCTATAGTCGAGTACCTCGACTATCAGATACCCGTTACTCAGCTAAATAGAGATATGCAAGTAGCAAAGCGAGATTAAAATGAGCCACCTACCGGCGGTATACAGATTTAAGCGTTATGGGCGTTAGAGTGGGCGTGGCAAATTTTTTTTTGGACCAATCGATAGGTATTGATGAGAACAATACATTTCAGTTAAAATTTTTTATCTAGCATAAAAATTGTGGGCGTCACAGGTTTTCGCGGTTTGTGGGCGTTAAAGTGGGCGTGGCAAACTAGGAGCCACAGTTTTGGGCGGTTTGTGGGCGTTAGAGTGGGCGTGGCACTCTACTGAAACAAACTTGCGCTGCGCAGGAATCTCAGGAATCTGCGTGCCTAATCCCAGTATTGTAACTCTCATAGTTTCCGAGATCTCAGCGTTCATACGGACAGACGGGCAGACGGACATGGCTAGATCGACTCGGCTAGTGCACCCAGAAAAAAATCCGTTCGAAACGTTCAAAAATCAAGACCAAACGTTGTCAAAAAGTGCGTGAGCCCGTTTGTTGACAGTTCATGAACAGGTGTTCGTAAAATGTGACCGAAACTTTAGGGTCGGGTTCCGAACGAATGGTGTCAGTTTAAGAACATTTCGGGCTTAACCTGAGAACATAAAAATCTAAAAAAAAACGAGGTTTGTGTACACGCTAGACTTTCTGGACGCCTGGTAGAGATTTATTTAATTTCCCACCTTATGTTTTGTTATTGCTAGAATTCAATGTATTTTGGATATTTTGCTGAAGACAAAGAATTTATTTATTAATAGAAATAATGTTTTAATAAAACTTACAATTCACAACCGTCTTCTCGCGGACTCGAACATGTGCTACCATGTGTCGGAGGCGGACGCTCTAGCAGCTGGACCACCGAGCGAATTTTTCGAGTGCGGACAATCGGGACACTAGACCTACATACATGTTTTTATGAACGATGTTGATAATTTATCGATTTCGATAGACTTTAACGCGTCTATCGCAGCTTTTTCATGAACGGCGTTCGATATCTGAGAACATTTTTCGCAATTTGGAACCAAGTTGTTCGTCGGTAGAAATTGTTACCAACACCGTTCGATTTTCGTGAACAAACGTTCGAAATGTGAGAACTAAAAATGGAGAACGGATTGTTCGCATTTCATGAAAAATGTTCTTGATTTTTTTCGTTCTTTTTTTTCTGGGTGTGATCCTGATCAAGAATATATATACTTTATGGGGTCGGAAACGCTTCCTTCTGCCTGTTACATACTTTCCGACGAATCTACGAGTAACGGGTATAAAGACAGTAAACTAAATCGAAGCAAATTTTTTCTACCGATCTAGTAGCCAAGAAATGCATCAAGTTAGCCATGAAATCAGCTGTCAAATCGAAATTCGACCACAAAACTGATAATTCCGAGGCCGACGCCCTGACTGAATGCTGTTTCCTGTACAGGAGTGTAGTTTTGGATAAACGCAATTTGGACACTCTAGATAGCCGCCAGCGAACCCCGAACGTAAGCGCAATGTCACAAGTAATACCCAACACGCCCACACCCCAAATGCTGACGACATCAACGCCCATAGAACCCATGAAACCACCACCAGCGTTCCCCACGCTAGGCGGCGCAAACATACACGAGCAGGCGTCCGATATGATTATACGGGCCACCACGATTTTCGAGGAGCTAAAGCACGACGACGCGAACCTGGAGAACGTGCCCCACCACGGAGTTGAGACTGAGCCGGAGGAGGATTCCCCTTACGGCGACAACGGCAACTCCAAGATCCGGATAATGCCCAGTGTAAAGCTAATGGCCACGCCCCCTTCCTCTGATCCCAAGCGCAAGTTCGTCTGCCCGTACGACAACTGTACAAAGAGCTATGGCAAGAGCTCCAACCTGCGGTCCCACCTCACCTGGCACACGGGCATCAAGCCCTTCGTCTGCAGCGAGCTAAAGTGCGGCAAGGGATTCAGGCGCTCCGACGAGCTCACCAGGCACCTGCGGACGCACACCGGCGAGAAGCCCTTCGAGTGCATCCAGTGCACCAAGAAGTTCTCACGCAGCGACCACCTCACCAAGCACCTGGCCACCCACGACCGCCAGCTGAAGAGCAGCCCGCATAAGAAATCGTTGCCGACCAGCGGAGGCGGAGGCGGCATGTGACTAAAGCCCTCGAAGAAGCACTCGCAGTCGGAGTCGGACTCGGGCTTTCACTTCATAGCCGCGATGGTTGGTTGCGGGGAGCCTAACATGGACCACCACCACCATCAGCAGCAGAATCAGCACCAGCCGCCCGCCGACTGCCACCACAAGCCGCTGAAGATCAAACTGGAAAGGCCAGAGCACAGCGACAAGTACCAGATCGTGACTCCGGACCACCAGCATCCGAGTCAGGGCCAGAACCAGAGCCAGCTGCCATCTTTCCTGGACCAGGCCAAGCCCGAGGTGAAATATGAACCGGTCGATGAAATTGTACATACCCTCTCTCAGTTACCACCGGCGGACGGTCCCGGCACCTACGGGATGCCCCAGTTCGTCCAGGATTTTTTCTAACGATCTAGTAGCCAGGAAAAGCATCAAGTTAGCCATGAAATCAACTGTCAAATAGAATTTCGATTCGGATTTGGACCTAAGGGCCAGAGCCCCAAATAATTTCAGTTTCGTTTTCGGGCTCAACAACGCAACATCTCCGTGTTTTATTAACATATTTAGGCAAGTGAAAAACAAGTTTTTTTTTATTTTATTTATTTAGTTTGTTATTTTTTACTCTCCGGTCTAACAAAGTGAACTTTTTTCATTTTCAGATATGTGAAACACTAAGTTTACCTGTAGAATAGCCCCAGGATGTAACGTGACCAGTCCTCCGTAATACACACCTACACACTTGGTATTTTCACACGTGAGAGCTCATAGCAGACGCCAGTAACCAAAAAAGTCCTTGTATAAGGCAGCCAAAACTAACAGAATTTATTGGATGATACGGAAACGGTAAAGCACACTATGTTCAACACAAGTGACGTACAATTTTGAGCCACCTTGTTAAAATGGATGAATGGAATGAAATCGGCAAATCGGCAGCAACCCTCAAAATTATATGGACCCTGATACGAAATTTTCACTTAAACAGACACTCCACCAATTAAGGTAATCTATTTAAATAAAATATGCATGTGCCCCTAACATGTATAGGCTAAAACAGAAGAATCAGGAGGATGAGGTTGGTATTACGATTTAAGAATCTAATGATTAACGTTCAATACCCCTTACCTTGCAGCCATTCCAGCTATCCTCTCAAAATTATATTGTATTTAAGGACCCACAAAACGGAGCTTTCACTTTTTAACAGACACTCGTGTAATTAAGGTTTCAACTAGGTAATCTATTTTCAATGAATCATAGTGACGATCTATTAATCTTACAACAATCTTTTTAAAAGAAATTTCATGCATGTGCCCTTAACATGTAAGCTTCAACAGAAGTAGGACGTCGTTATTATCCTGAGGATGAGGTTGGTACTTTGATCAAAGATTCCAAGGATTTACTTTAATAAGCCCCCTTTGCAGCTATTCCAGGTATCCACACATAACTGGGGGCTGCGCGATAGAGGATGGAGGACTTGCATCATACTCGTAAATAAATACATCGTATTATGTTATACATGGAAGGTACTGAAGAACACATCGCAACACATTGAAGTACACCTCGTATTATAAAATATTCTATTTAACCATATAACGTTATCGAACCGACATACACTACATTATACATCATTCCTCGAATTTATAATATCGCAAATGTAACACAAACACGAATTACATTACACTACTAAACCATATGCAGTTCAGAAGGTCGACTTAGTTAAAATAAATGTTTATGCCACAAACAAAAATGTTATTTGGGAAATTGTTAAAAATTGGGTTTGTTAAAGAGTTGCAAGTACAAATAACGACCATCGCTACATATTACCTACATAGTAGCCCCACTTTAAAATACTTAAATACTAATTTTTTATTATTTGCTTACGCATATGAAAATGAAAAGAGCAACAATTTACATTCAAATGGCGTTTAATATCTGTTCGGGACATGTCATTGATCTCTATAATGAGGCACGTTTTACCAAAGCAAAAGTTCGCCCATTCACACACATGCATATTGTATTATGGCAATTTTCAATTTGTGTGTGCATTTAAAATGCAATTTTCCCCGGCAAAGCGAGAGGCGAGGCTCAATAAAATTCAAGTGATTTATTTATACGCATTGTTGGACGACTGGAAATTGGCGGGACGCAGGGTGTCGTCGGTGCTGGCGAACTCTTAATAAAAACAATTAAGCCAAATTGGCCACAATTGTAGGCAAAATGAAATAAAAACCAAAATAAATTGAGAACGAAAACGGAAAATAGTTGTATAAAAATGAAAGCCGACACAACTTGATCAAGATGGTGGGAAAATGAGAGGAGCGGGTGGAAAAAATGTGTGATGGTGCAAAAAAAAAAGGGCGAGCACTTAAGTGGAAATGCAGTCGAGTGTCGTCATCATCATCAAGGGGACATCCCAGCAAACTCCCACACAAGTGCAGAAAATCGAAAAGGGCGACACTGGTGCAGAGAGAAAAAATATTACCAAATGGTGGGGATATTTCTAAACAAAAATGCTTTCAGGCCCTGACCATCCAAAATTATAAGAAATTAAAATACTAGTGGGACTCATGTATAATACATCAAAATAAATAATGCATAATAATAACTAACACATAAAATTAAACAAACACAAATACCAATTTAGGATCTAACTTCTAATTACACATTTTCAAATACGACACTTGTACAGAGAGAACAAATACTACCAAATGGTGGGGATATCTCCAAACACAAATGCTTAAAGGCCCTGACCATCCAAAATTATTAGAAATTAAAATATTAGTGGGATTCATGTATAATACCCAATAATAAATAATGCTTAATAATATTTAATTCAAAAAAATAAAAAATTATAAATATGAAATTAAGATCTAACTTCTAATTACATATTTTTAATTACCAATCGAAGAGAGCTATTCAAGTTCCATTTTAACTACGATTATAATAAACTTGTTATCATGCATTTATTACATGATTTGTATCATTAAAAAAGTAGTTTACTACAAATTATAAATTTAGGTCAAACATCGATCACTTGTTTTTCCCAGTGTACTTGCAGATATTGGCAAAAGTGCAGCAACAAATGATGAGCAGCAAAGTCGACGATGCGATTTGCGTTCGTCTCAGCCGTTCTTGTGTTTTTTTCTCCGACCTTTTTAACTTCTTAGTGTGGAAAAACTATTCAAGTCTAATGGCACGAAAGAGAATAATGACGCACAATACACTTCGACAGTTTAAGCGGATTCACATGATTACAACCGAGCGGAGAGAGGAGAAAGTGCAGTGGTGAGAGCGGAGAAAGCAGTAAGTAATGATGTCTGTCGATGTTTGCAGAAACTTGTTAACCATTTGAAGGCGACAAATGTCGAGAGCATTAGACATAGCTAGAGGCGAACAGTGGGAAAGGATCATACATCTTGAGGAAAGTTTATATGTTAAATATATATAATTAAATAAATAAAAAAATGAAATTTCAAAATCTGTATGTCAAGAGGTAGTTTTTTTTTTAAATACCGATAGTTACCATGTTTTTTAAATGGTTCAAAAACCCACTTTAAACAATTTTGTAATAAAAAAAATTTCGATTTTTTAAATTTTTTTTTTATTTTATTTAGATGATTGATTTTTTTTATAAACTTTTAAATTCATACTACAACTTCTAAGAAACTTATACTTTTTGCCTAATTTACAGCCTTTGCACTATAGAACAAACAACATTTTGTTCACTAAATAAGCACCTGAGCCCACTGTGCCGGTCCTCATCTCCAGTCGGCACTTGGCAGGATCTGGGATCTAGGATCTGGCCCCACTTGAGCTGTTCTGGAGCAGCCAAACAAATGGCCAAAGATAATGCATCCTAGGGGCGATGAGGCGTGGCCAGTGCCCGTGGGAATATACCTAGTTTTGCACAAATTTATGGCTTTTAATTGCACATATTTGACAGGAGCTGCGAGGCGAATCGATGACGATAAGTCACAACTAATCGATTGCCTACCAGAGTTGATAATTTTAGGATAATTTAAATAGAAGGATAAGACCAGAAAGTGCATATTCATTGCGGTGCATATTGCGGCTTTAAGGCGGCATAAAAATGCCGGGCATGTACGATATGTGTCTCTGTGATTTCCTAATTCAATTATTATTCAAATCATATAATTTCATCTCTATGACACGCACCGAATGCGGTGGCGTTGGCAACCCTGGCAGCATGTAATAATCACATTACGTATACGACCGCAGGACCACGCATACAAAACTACATTTGCGTATGGGGCACAATTTTCTGGAGTGGGCCAAATCCAATTTCCCGCTGCGACAAATGAAAATTGCCAGCTTCATTCCTTTATTATGCCATTTCTTCCCGAAGCTTTGTCTCCGGCTTATCCCTCATTTGCCTGCATTTATATTATTTTGCATATTAATATTGTTAAAAGCGAGCCGCCCGTTGCGCTCCACAAAATTAGCCCGCCATTCATGTCGCATTCCGTTCATGCCACATCTTGTGTGTGTGGATGGTAGTTGGCTGTTGAATGGTGGTTGGATGGTTGGATTTCTGGGTGGTTGGGTGGTTCGGCACCATTTGGGAACGGAGGCCATATCAATTTACCCACCGGAAGGCACGCAGCAGCAACATCGGTGGCAACAAAAGAATGCGACCCGATTCGGTTTGATTCGCACCGTCTCAGCGGGAGTTCAACAATTGTAAACATATCCCACGGTGGGATATCCCATGAATAAATTACACAGAAGGGCACGCAAATTGCTGGCTCTTCAGAAATTAGACAAAATAATGGGTAAATCAATTGCTTAAATAAAAAATTAAATAAAAAACCTGGCTACTATTTTTAAATTCGTATTAAAACAACAATCTCTTTTATTTATTTATTTGTCTGTAAAAATGCTTTCCTTTATTGAAGCATATTATTATATTATAATCCTACCCTGCCCTTTTCACTGTAGCTTTATAAAACGACTGCGTCTGTCCGTTTGTATGCACTTATTAATGCGTATTCATTGTCACATCCGGTGCGAGGAAATTATATTCCTCACCGGGCAGCCGATCCTGCCCCGCCCCCTTTTCCAATCCCCCCCACAATCATCGACTCATTTGAAGGACTCGCCTTGCCTTGCGGAGAGCAGACGCTTTCCTTTTGTCGATTTAATTGAAATAATTGCAAAAATGCAAATTGAATGGACAACAGTTGACACAGGATATTAACCATGGACGATGGCCAGCAACAGGAGACGGAGCAGGATCCGGCGGAGGACACGCTCCCGCCGCGCAAGGAGCCTTAATGAGCTAACGAACGTACGGGGGATAATTGAGTGGAGACCACATGTGCAGCTGGCCGGGCGACCTGGCCGGGATCAATGAACTCCCGGGGGCTTCCATTACCATACCTACAAATTATGGGACTTATTTCGAAACCAAAAATGGAGTACGGAATTGGCAAATATATAAGTCTTGAACATTTTATGAAAAATGTAGTATTTTTTGGTATTAAAGGAGAGTTTCGGGACTTATTTCGAACCCAAAAATGGGTTATGGTATGGAATGTTTATACTTCACCTTTGAATAATTGATTACAAATTTCAATCTTTTCTGGTATAATAAGAAAGATATGACACTTCTTTTGAACCCAAAAATGGGATATGATATTGGAATATTTATAATTACCTTTCCTAAATATTTGATTAAAAATTTAGTATATTTCTGGTATGATAAGAAATTTATAAAACATATTTTGAGCCCAAAAATGAGATATCGTACTGAAATATTTATAAGTCACTTTCTTGAATAAAAAGAAGAAAGTTTTGGGGCTAATTTCGAACCCGAAAATGGTATTGGAATATTTAATAAATATTATTTATATTTCACCTTTTTTAAATATTAAAATAAGCTTTTAGTCTTTTTCTGGTATTATGAAGATATTATATACATTTATCGTAATAGTTGTTTGAGATTTTCCTAACACTAATTTTAAGCCCCGCTTAAAATAATTTTTAATACAAAAAATATTTGCCAATCTCCTGCCAAAAATATTTTAATTAGTTTAATATTTTTATTAAAGTACTTAAAGTTCATAAATAAAATGTTAATGGTTTTCTATATTTTGTAGACGATTTCAGAACCGAATCATTAGAATTTGATATAAAATTATAGTGCAATGATATTTACAAATTAAAATTGAATTATCACAAATTAATTTGTTTTTTTTATTTATCTAGTAGGTTATTTGATGATTTATTAACAAAATATTTAAAGTTATAAAATAAAATTCCTCTGCAATAGTATTTAAATATTAAAATTGAATTTCTCCAAGTGCTCGTGATCTGCTGTGTTTAAGACTTGGCCAGAGATTCCAGTTGGCACCTCGGCCCTCCGTAATGAGTGGCCAACATTTGCCACATTGTGCGGCGGTTGTTCCTGTGCCCGCCGCCCGTGGGCGTTGCGTTGCAGAGGGGGGCGTGGCCGGATGTGGCGGCTGTGGAACGAACTCGCTCCTAAGCCGCGTCCTCATCGAATGTTGTCGATGTCGATGGTGATGTCGATGTCGATGTCGATGTTGCTGCTGTGTCTGGCCAACTTCCGGTGCAGCAACAATCCTGCGAGTGTGTGTGTACATGTGCCGATGTCCTTTTATCCTCGACGCTTATGTGTGGGTGAGGCCGCAGGTTGCACCATAATTGTGTTGATTAGCTAATTAGATGTAATTTCGCGGCCGGAAATTGGCAGTTGCTGCAGTCGGGCAGCCATTAGGAGGACAATTCCTAGACCCCCCTTTTACGCATTTCCACCCCCTGCCATGCAAATTTTTAAGTGCAGTTTGGATGGGGGCGAGCATAATCTCGTCATGAATATGTTTGTTTAGCGCGCAGCCATGTCTCGCCTTGAAGGGTTCCGCTCCATCAGATTCAGACTTTCAGACTAGGAAAGACCGCCCCCGACCCCCTTGGAGCCACGCCCCTGGCCCTTGGATGTTGCTGACGTAAAAGTCGCGCCATAAAAATTCATTGCCAAACGAGCCAAAGTGTTGCCGCAGTGGATGAGGATGGGAAAATGGGGATGTGGCAGTGGATGTGGCAATGGCAATTGCGGAGAGTAGTCCAGACTGAGCTGCAAAAAGCTGGGTAACGGATCTGGAAGTTGAGCTCAACCTCAAGTCGCGGCATTGGGCGGAATACCCTGAAAAATATCATTTATTTGGGCTCGCATGGCGTATGAGTGATGTTGGTTAATGTCAAGATTGGTATTATTATGGTAAATGGTATTTAAATGAGTGTAAAATCTATATAATTGTAATACAATAGAGCAATTTTATTTAATTTCCTAATATTGTAAGCATATTTTTGCAGACCTACTAACTTAAAACCCTCTTTATATTACTTTAAGATCCCCTTCCCCATTTGTGAATGATGTATATGAACCAAAAATAGAAAACATTTTATAAGAGGAACTGCATAAAGTTTTCTTCCCTTTTGCTTGCTTTTTTCCTAAACAGCGCAGCGTATTAAAGAGGTTCGGTGGGTTGTGGAAAATGGTTGGGGGAAATGGAAAATGGAGATGGGAGATGGGAGTGGTAGTTGGTGGATGGTCGATGGGATGTATCGCCTCGGAAGCTGACTGCGACTGCCTCGAGAACGACATCGCAGGCAATGAGATTAAGTTCAATACATTTACTTGAATTTCCAGCGAACGACAAGGACGAAGACGATGTCGTCGACTAGTTGGCTCCCAAGGATGAGTAGGAAAATTGGGGGGCTGTGGGAAAGCTAGGAAGCTGAAGAGCAACACGGAGAAAAACTTTTTATGTGTTTAGCCTATTTTTTTATAAATTGAAATAAAATAGAAATATTAAATCTGTACCTTGCAAACTATGTTGTAAGTACTAAAAATACTTGATATCTGTTTACCTAAATAAAAAATGTTTAAAAAATGAAACCTCAGACTATTTATTTAAAGTTCTTGTTGACCAGGGCTAATGATTGTCTTTAATAATGTTGTTGTTAATAATGTTCTTATCGCATAAGATATGATAACATCTTAAACACTTTTAGTATTTAAATGATAAATTATTGTGGTATTCACTTATGTATGTACCTTTAAGCATTTTTTTCATGTCCAAATGTAATCTATAATCTACCATTTCATGTTGCAATGTTGGAATATTTCTAAGTATTATCAGTATATTTTTTTCCAGTGTAAAAAGCCGAAGCCGGGCAACGTTGTGCCCATTACAGACAGTTTTTGTGGCGAGAAATTTCAAAAAGCTCAAATGTGCGAGGCGATAAGCAAAGCAGCAAGAGATTGGCAAGGAAGGGGGTTGGCAGGGGCTGGGGAAGGGGGTCCGGTAAGGGGTCTGGTAAGGGGTCGGGTAAGGGGTCGGGTAGTGGTTCAGGGGGCAATGGCAGCACTTACATGTAACCAGTCGATGGCGACAACGGCAGCCGCAAATGTTGCAAGGATTGCCGGCAAGAAGCACACACAAAATTGATGTCTATGTGTGTGGTGGGTGGATTGGTTTCCAGGAGGGGATGGGTGTTTTGTGGGTGGTCGAAGGACAACTATTTGTAGGAGGAGAGGATGGGGCAGATCGGTGGGGGTTGATTCGCCAGCGCAAGTTTTGGTTTTCAAAATTTATCGCTTTTAGATAAAACGTTTTGCGTTTTTACGATACGAGCAGCGAACACTTTGGCCAACTATCCTGGAAGCCATTCCCAGCAGCTGGAGGGGATGTGGTGTCCTTTGTTGTGGAAGGGGCGTGGCGAGTGTGGGGTGTGAAAGTGCCTCCCGCCGACTCTGTGGATTATGAAGTAATTTAATTAAAACGCCTGGCCCGCAAATAAATCCGGCATTATTTATGCCGCCTGGCAGGAGAAACGTGACATCTCCGTACCGGGTAATCAGTATTACTCTCTCGGAAAGAAAGTGCTTGATGAAACCTATAACTTGTCAGAATTTATTAAAGTCACTTTGAGCAACAGAAGAAGATTTTTTAAACACTGCGATTTCATGGTTTTTTTTATTAAAACTTTGCCATATCGTTGGCCTCTATTCATTTTTAGCATGATTTTATTTTTTTCCAACTATTTTCTAACTGATATAAATATATTTTTCAAATTCAATTAAATATAATACTATTTTAGTATATGTCTACCATTTAGAAATTTTGTCATTTTGTTGTTTAATAATCTATTTTAAATTTCATTAAATTATTGCAAACTAGTTTATACCGACATTTTTAATCAAAATATTAGTTAGTACCTTTAGTATCCTTACTCATTTTGAAATGTATATTTATCTTATTATGTTTATTGAGTTTATTTATTACCAACTATTTTCTAACTGATAATAATACTTTTGTAACTTATAAAACAATCAAAATATTTATTTAATTCTTTATTTAAAATATATTTTATTTCCCATCTGTTTTCCTTGGTACCCTAATCGATATTCTGGTAATCCTTTTCCCAAATTTTAACCTGGGCAGCAGCAATTCCATGAGGAAGACCACCACTGCTCCCAGATTCGCCCAGAAGACAAGCCAAAATAGGGCTTCCAGTTCCCTCATGGAGAGCACATTCTGGCGGACGGGAGCCACCTGCTGCTCCTCGGCCTCCGACAGCCGTGGATCGCCTTCAATCCCGTCCAGCGTCTGGTACGAAGTGGAGGCAATCCTGGAAACACTCTCATCCGCCTCATCTACGGCACTCACATACTGGCGCGTCCAGTGCTCCAGGAAACCATGGGCATGGGCATGTTGGATCTGCTTGTTCAACACACCCACCAGATGCGAGTGACGCCTCACATAGAAGGCCAACTGCTGGGTGTAGATGCGTTCCCGCACCAAATGCAATCTCCTGCTCACCGGATGCACCTTCCGGAAGTACCCGAAATACTCGTAGGGCGTAAGGATGGCCAACCGGGCGGAGCAGCCACTTTGCTGGGCCAGAGCTGGAAAGGATTGCAACTCACTGCCCTCCAGGTGAACCAATTGCTCGGGTCGCAGCTCCGGCAAACTGGCCATAATATTGGCCTCATTGCCCTCCGCCAACTGAATGGTGAAACGCTGGGCCAGCACTTCGGATATGGTTTGTGGCGGATTCCTCTGAGTATCCTGGCGCAGCAGCTGGTACATTCCCGACTGGTAGCCAATCCTCAGGACTAAGGTGCCAAACATCCAGGTGAGCAGTACCAATCGACCGGAAAATCCAAGTGGAAGACAGCGTTCCTCCAAATTTCCACCCATTGTCAGGACAAAGAGCTCATAGTACGGATTCCTGGGCAACTCATGACCAGGCCACAAACGATGCACCATCAAGAGGAGCAGGCAGGCCAGGATCAGGACCAAGGCAATAACCCTCCACAGGAGTGGGCTGAAGGGAAAGGCCAGCCTCTCGTAGGTGGAGTAGGCACTCTGCAGATTGGTCACCAACATGATGTGACTCATGAAGTAGTAGGTGGACTGGGAATAGGGAATCTCGCTGCCGGCACTGGGCTTGAAGTGGAAACCGCCCAGGGAGAAGTCCGCATGGTGGCCAAAGATCTGAAAGAACCAGAAATATCATAGATCTTATAAAAATTGTTTACATAATACACAGAAAAAAAATGGTTCAGATATGATGATTATTTTATAAACCTCTGGAACAATTATGCCTCCAAACACCACTTCTCAGTATCACAATAACATTATTTAATGGTATATTAATATATCAAATTGAACCTTTTTATACCCGTTACTCGTAGAGTAAAAGGGTATACTAGATTCGTCGGAAAGTATGTAACAGGCAGAAGGAAGCGTTTCCGACCCCATAAAGTATATATATTCTTGATCAGGATCACTAGCCGAGTCGATCTAGCCATGTCCGTCTGTCCGTCTGTCCGTCTGTCTGTCCGGATGAACGCTGAGATCTCGGAAACTATAAGAGCTAGGCTATTGAGATTTGGCGTGCAGATTCCTGAGCTTCTTACGCAGCGCAAGTTTGTTTCAGTACAGTGCCACGCCCACTCTAACGCCCACAATCCGCCCAAAACTGTGGCTCCTACAGTTTTGATGCTAGAATAAAAATTTTAACTGAAATGTAATGTTCTTATCAATACCTATCGATTGACCCAAAAAAAAGTTTTCCACGCCCACCCTAACGCCCATAAACCGCCCACAAACTTCAAAAAATCGTAAATATGAACGTGGATATCTCGGAAACTATCAAAGATAGAGAATTGGGATTTCAGATTTAGATTCCGTAGCCTTATAAGCAGCGCAAGTTTGTCACGCGAATATGCCACGCCCACTCTAACGCCCACAAGCCGCGAAAACCTGTGATGCCCACAATTTTTATGCTGAATAAAAAATTTTAACTGAAATGTATTGGTCTCGTCAATACCTATCGATTGGTCCAAAAAAAAATTTGCCACGCCCACTCTAACGCCCAAAACGCTTACCGCCGGTAGGTGGCGCATTTTAATCTCGCTTTGCTACTTGCATATCTCTATTTAGCTGAGTAACGGGTATCTGATAGTCGAGGTACTCGACTATAGCGTTCTTCCTTGTTTCTTCCTATACTTATACCTCATCGAAAATCCTGCCCGACTCATCGAAAGTGGCCAGCACCTCCTCCTTATTCATCCAGTAGATACCCACGCTGAAGTTCAGATTGTCGGCCATGAACTGCAACAGAGCCCCCTCGATGCCCACAAAAGATTCACTTCCATCGCGGCGCCAAACCAAATAGGGCATATCCTCCCAGGTGGCGCAGGTCAATAGACAGCCATAGAAGTTGCCCAGCTTAGGGGGAAAATAATCCTGGCTAGCCCATTGTCCGATTTCCACTTGGTAGCGATTCACCACATTGGGCAAAATCTCCTGACAGCCATGGGATGCACTGAAAGGAAAATAGCTGACCATAATGAGCTGACCACCAGGTGGACGCAGTACTACGCCCACATTCAGCACACTGAGGCGCCACAACAGGCGCAGGACCAATTGAATCTCCTCGCCATACGCCTCCGTGGGCAGGGACATGTATATCAAGGTGTACGACAAATCCTGGGTGGCTCGAATGCGTCCGTAGATTGCCGTAAGAGCCGGAAGATTGTCTACCAAAGCCAGTACAGCATGTACATATGGTTTGTACTCCATAGATTGCTGAATGTACAGCTTGCGTGCCTGCAAAGTGGATGGCAAAGCCATCAGCACCTGGTCGAGCAACTCCTCCAAATGGCCACCAGTCGTCTGGGAGCTTCTATGGGTGTAGATGTACAAGGTCTTCAAGCTACCCATCTCCGAATTGACCACCACTTGGGCTAGAGCCCTTGCCAAGTCCTCATCCGATCCGGATCCCATTGTTTTGGTCACCACAAAGCAACAAGAAAAAATAATATACAGGCAGAACTTCATGGCGAAAGAGTTGCCAGATGAATGTTGTATAAGTGTAAACACTTTGGACTAGACTTTCTAGATCCCAGGGGAAATTTCGGGAATGGCACTGTTCAATCGCGTTAATCATATCACATTAAAGGCGATTCCTCTGGGGAACCCACTTGGTTACCTATTAATAAGGGAGATTTATCTACTTATAAGTAGGTTTACTTTGTATATGCTTTTAGTCTTAAGGCTGCTAATTAAGGCATTATGACACCTACGTTTTGACTAACTGGCGGTACTTATATTACAAAATCAATACATTAACTTAAAAAGTTTCTAGCTGGGGACCATGACTATTTCAAATAAGCCCAGTAAGTTTTTAGAGATTAATGTAAGTTTGTGTGATAGTTTGAAATGTATTTCTTAACTTTCCATTGGGGGTTCCTTAATTTTACTTCGTAAGAACACCTACATACAGCTATTTTAAGTAAGCAACACAAGTGATGGTTTTGTTTTCACATTAATAATATTTAATATTTATTTTTATTGGCTTTATAAAAAAAAGTCGAATCATCAACATCATCGTCGTCGAAATTGAAGTAGTCGATATCGTTGTCATCCCGGTATTTTCTGCTGCTGCTAATGTCCCTGGGTTCACCGCTCTCCTTGGGCTCCTCCACATCCCGGTCGTCCTCCTCGTCTGGTTCCGGTTCGGGTTCATTCTCCAGAGGATCGTTGGCCTCGTCCTCGAACAGGCTACGCTCGGCGGCTCCCAACTCGAAGACGGGTTCATCCGTCTCATTCTCTTCCCGGGCCTTCACTTTGGGCTTGGTGACGTTGCCCAGAACCGGAGGCTGTACCTCAACGCGGGTAAGATTCGTATGGTGATTCAGCATGCCCTGATAGAGATGGGGAAACCTACGCTGGAAGTCCACTTTGATTCGGAGCAGTCTCTCCAACATGCCGGGCGTTAGGATGCCATTCTCCGATCCCTGACCCATGATGTGGGTATCCCTGCGATGACGACCATCCTTCAGATAGGCCGCATAGCTCCCGCCGCCCGAGTAGAGAGGATGGTGCGGATCGTAGGGCTTTTGGTTCCAGGGATCATCGGGTCTGTCCACCGGCAGCAGACCCATGAACGGATGCAGCAGTCCCTCGCCGTAGGTGTAAATGGAACCCACTTGGGGGTCGGATGATGATGGTGCGTTTGCGTTTTCGATTTCGGTTTCAGATGGTGCTGATGATGAACTGACGTAATGGACCGAGGATATGCAAATGAAAGATGGACATGAATGGTTGGTGAATGATTAGTGAATATGCTGATATACTCTATCTAGATTATGGTTAGGTTTAGTTAGGATTTGTGGGTTAGTTATGCTTATGCTTTAGGTTGGATGGAAGTTCTGATGGTGGTGGCAATGGGTTTGTGTTGCCTTCTACGCAACCTCTTTCGCTTGATGACTTTGATGGGCTTAATGGTTTTGGGGGTTTTCGAGACGATATTGCTCTGGGCCCTGAGGAGACTGGACTTTTTCTCCTTCTGGATTTGCAGACGCAACAGATCCTTGAGCACATCCACCAAACTGTCTAGCTTGGTGCTGCTCACGGTGGCCTGCGTGGTAACCTGCGAGTCGACCTTTTTGACCTGTGGCACGGACTTTTTGGGTCGCTGGGGCGTTCTCACTTGACGGGTGGAACGCACCCAACCATCATGGCTTTCTTTTGTGATCCTCGGACTGGGAGTCCTCCTACGCCGCACAAACTTTCCCCTCATGGCATACGGTGTGGGTGTGGTGGGTGAATCACTCGCATCGCTACCACCATCATTTAGGGCCGCATTGAGGAGCTGCGCCTGCTGTTTCACACTCAAGGCCCTCTTGGTCTTGCCCTCAGTCCCCGTATCGGAATGGGGCTCATCCGCCTGGAACTCCGGATAGGGGGCGTACTCCTGGCTGCCATTGTTATCGTAGTTACATGTCTTTGGCAACTCCAGGTTCTGGCCTTGGGTGAACTGTCCCTCATGGTTCTTGGTCAGGTAATCCGTATCATAGCCCCGATTGGCCAGAATGCTTTGCCAATTGGTATCATCTTCGTAGTCCAGTTTGTTGGAGATACCAGTTGGCTCATCCACTTTGGCCTTGGCCTGGGCAACCTGGCATTTGGTCTCAGCTTTTGAAGAATTCGTTGGTGGAGTCTCTGTGGTTGTGGGGCTACTGGTGGTGGTGGTAGAGCTACTTGAACCCTCGGCATCCTCCTCCTCTTCCTGCTCCTCCTCCTGCTCCACTGTAGCTGGCTCTCCTTCATTCTTTTTCTCCTCCACCTTGGGCTTCTCCGCCTGCTTGGAAGACTCCTCCTCCACTTTGGCTGGTTCCTTTTTCGTAACTGGCTTTTCTTTGACCACATTGTTGGATACTATCTTGCTGCATCTGAGGTTCAGCTTGAGGATCTCCTTCTTCAGCTCATCCACTATGCTGTGTAGCTGATGGATCTCCTGCTCCTGCTTGGATATCGACTTGGTTACATGGGAGCTCTCAGCCACCGAATCTTGCTGCATTTCAATTTCCTCATTCTTGTCACTTTCAGTCGTTGTGATAGAGGCTTCTGAGGTGGTTTCACTGGCTCCTGGAGTGGTGGCTTCTGTGGTGCTTGTCGTTGGTGCCGCTGTGGAAGTGGTTAGGCGCACAAAGTCCTGGTGATTATACTGGTACCCTGCATTGGGATCATGCTGCAGTGGCTCCTCCACCACGGCCTCCTCTGGCGTTCCCTCTTCGTACTGATCTCCACCGATCTCCAGCGGTTCCATACTGGCTCTCTCCAAAGCCTCACGAATGGAGGCCGCATTGTAGCGCATCAGGGCCTCTGCGGGATCTTCATCGGGATTCAGTGTGATCTCTTTAAGTCCCAGCTTGTATTCCCTACGCAATTCGTTGAGGGAACCCTCATCGATGGTCTCCAAGGTTCCATACTCCACGTTCCGTTTACTTCGGCGATTGGCCTTGCACTGGCAGGATCCCCTGAAACTGACTGCTCCTGCTTCCGATCTTCCGCACTGACAACTCCTGCCACACAGACAATCCAACCTGCCGCATCCGCAACCCTTGGATGTGGTATTATATACCCCTCGCCCAAACCTGTGGAAAATGGCTAACCTTTTTTGGACTCGATGCTCTTGCGGTTGTGACTGTGGTTGCTCCTGGGGAGCTGGTGTCGTCGCCAATGGAGGATTAGAGCTGCTCTCCTGCCTCTCCGATCCACCGACTTGGCTTGGTTGTTGGATGGGGTTTATTGTCTGAAATGCGTCGCCTGTTTAATGCCATGAGAAAAAGGCGAAATGAATCGTATGAAATGGATCAAATGAAGGACTACGGTCTACGTGTTCCAGTGTGAAAGTGTGGCGTGTGCTGTGGTGTGGTGATCAATGTGGTGTTTTAGTGGTTTGTGGTGGTTCTAGTGGTTCTACGTAGGTGCCAACTTACCCTGGCCATCGTTTGATGCTGGCGCAGCATTGAGTCCACCTCATCGTTGCCCACGGCTGCCCGGTAGGCGTTCGATGGGGAGGGCACACCATAGGCATTCGATCCGTAGCCCCCGCCTCCGTAGCTGGTTCCATAACTACTTCCGTAACCCTGGGCAGCGGGACGCTGAACCGGTGCCGAGTAGTAATAGTTGATCACCGTGGGCGGTGGGGAATTGGACTTGAACTTCTTGCGCTTGTTGCCGCCAATTCCCAAGAAATCCACTGTGGGAGAGACAGGAGGCACTGAGTCAGGACTGCGAAAAACCCCGAAGAGATTACCTTTGTGCCGGGCAGTTCCTTCGTTCTCCTTCATCTGGGGACCCGCCTCACCAACTATGGCGTCCATAGGATCATCATTTCGGCCGACCTGTTCCATCATCATGGGAGTCTGCTCCATTCGTGGTTGCTGCATCATCATCATCGAGGGCTGCTGATCCGATTGGGGGTTCTCCTGGGCCCACTGGCGCTGCTTCATCATCGCGGGACTCTCTTGCATCATCTGCCTCTGCTGCATTTGCTGCATCATCATGGCATTCTGCTGAGCCTGCTCTTCGGACAATTGTCTTTGCTGTTCCATCATCTGCCTCTGCTGCATCCTGGCCTCATCCTCGGCCCACTGCCTCTGCTGCATCTGTTGAACCACTTGAGGATCCTCCACCCACTGCCTTTGTTGCATCATCGTGGGATTCTGTTGGGTCATTCCTTGAGCCTTGGCCTGATCCTCGGCCATCTGTCGCTGCTGCTGCATCGTTTGAATTATCTGAGAATCCTGCGACACTTGTCTCTGCTGTTCATTCTGTTGAATCTTGGCCAGATCCTCTAACCACTGTCGCTGCTGCTGCATCGTTTGAATCATCTGAGAATCCTGCGACACTTGTCTCTGTTGTTCATTCTGTAGGAGTTTGGCCTGCTCCTCGGCCCACTGTCGCTGTTGCTGCATAGATTGAATAATCTGAGAGGTCTGCGACACTTGTCTTTGCTGTTCATTCAGTTGAATCTGGGCCTGATCCTCTGACCATTGTCGCTGCATCTGAGAATTCTGACCCACTTGTCTCTGCTGTTCATTCTGTTGGATCTTGGCCTGATCCTCTGACCATTGTCGCTGCATCTGAGAATTCTGACCCACTTGTCTCTGCTGTTCATTCTGTTGGATCTTGGCCTGATCCTCTGACCACTGTCGCTGCATCTGAGAATTCTGACCCACTTGTCTCTGTTGTTCATTCTGTTGAATCTTGGCCTGATCCCCTAACCACTGTCGCTGCATCTGAGAATTCTGACCCACTTGTCTCTGTTGTTCATTCTGTTGAATCTTGGCCTGATCCTCTGACCACTGTCGCTGCATCTGAGAATTCTGACCCACTTGTCTCTGCTGATCCATCTGCCTCTGTTCCTGGGCCTGTTGGTTGGCCGTCTGACCCTCGGAATTTCTGTAGGCCGCGTACATCTTGTCCTGCTTGCCCTTCTCGGCTTCCATCTGCTCGTTGGCCATGCGATAGGCATAGGCCATGACCTGGACGATGTCCTCCTTGGACAGAGTCTGTTGGGGCATAGCCTGACGCTTCAAGCCGTTTGCCTTCTGGTTGGTGTGGCCTGGTTGGTTCCTGGCCTTGCGTTGGGCCTCCTTGTTGACCAATCGCCGGACATAATCATCCCGCAGAGCCTGCTCGATATCGGCCCGTGTGATCTTGTGGACGGGTGTGCGACTCAGGGGGTAGCTAACCCGGTTGGGAGAATCTCCAGACTGTGCGGCCGCATTGGACCTCATCTGCTTGGCCAGCAGCTCGATCTTCTGCAGCATTTTCAATTCGGCTATCACCTGATGCTCGAAGGCCCTCAGCTTGGCCTCCACTCGCAGATCGTGCAGGGTCTTCTCCTCCGACGCATCCTGACCCTGAGTGCTGGGCATTCGGAACCAGAGGAGGGGCACTCGCTCCTGATCCTGTTCCTTCTCCTGCTCCTTCTCCATGGCCGCATTGATCTTCTGCTGGGCCATCTGTGCCTCTGGCGAGTAGGAAACCTCGGGACGCACCCTCACCTCGGATATGTCGGAGGCCTGGGCATCTGTTCCAGCTGCTTGTTGTGGGAAGAACTGCTTCTGCATTTGGGCCACGAAGTCCATATTGGGAGGGGGAAGCTGGGGAATACTCTGGGACAGCTGGGGAAGCTGGGGAAGCTGAGGAAGCTGGGAAATACCCTGGGGAATACCCTGGCCCAGTATACTGCTGGCATCAAAGTTCGCCGGATTCAGGAAGGAGAAGGCGTTCTGCAGAGCTGCCTGACTTAGGATAGGTTGTTGGGCAACCGTGTCGGCAGCAGCGGATGCTGGAGGATCGGCAGCTGGAGCCGGTGCCGGAGGAGCAGGATCAGCAGCTGGAGCGGCAGCAGGAACTGGAGCTGCGGCACCCAAAAGGCTAGGCATGGACGGCAAAGTCGGCAGTTGGGCAAAAAACGATCCAACCTGCGGGCCAAAGTCGGGCATTGCAGGCATTTGGAAGTCCTGTGGCCAGTTCATTAGCTGACCCAGAGGATTGGGCGCGGTATTCTGACGAGCAACTCGCGTCTTGGCCGTGGCATCCTCGGCCAGGACGAGCACCACCTTGGAGGCAGCTGCCGAGGGTTGGAGGTCATCAGGAATGGCACCCAGGAACGAGTAGGCTGGGAACAGGCTGCCCCAGCGGAGAAGGCTGCCCAACGCTGGGAACATCATGTAGAAGGCGTCCATCTGGGGATTGCCAGTGCGAATGGGAGTGATGGGCGGCATCTGGCCAAGAATCTGAAAAGCAGTAAAATATATGGGTTTAAAAAGGAATACTAAAAAACTTCATCAAAGAAAGAATCAAATGATCAACCTAAAAACAAAAGGTTGATCAATTGTTTCTTTCTTTAAAACACAATTAACCATGTTACTTTAATTATTATTTTAAAATTCGAGAATGTTGTAGAGAGTTTTAATAAGCTATCTAAAATAATTAATTTAATTTCTTGAAACACTTCTCATTCATGGGCAGGAATACTAGAATTTGATACAATATATTATATGAATATATCTACTCACTAAGAACTGCATCAAATATTTATTTTAATATTTGGTAGGTTTTTTTCACTTTTATTTATATATTCACAATTTTAAAACTCAGGTTTTTAAATTCTGGAAAGTTTTTACCATTCACTTGGATACTAGACGACCCCAGATTGAACTCACCTCATCCCTGGTGGGAATCCTTGGTCTGGTGTCCGTGGAGGAGTTGGTCGTTTTTCCGGCATCCGCCGGGGGATCTTGACCGGCCGCCTGGGCGACAAGGAGTGCCAGGAGCGGCAGCAGGCTGTGCAATCTCATCCTGGTGGTGGACTAATCTCGGGGGAACGCAGAACGCGGAAGATCGATCTGTGTGCGCCGGAGCTCTTTCGACGACTGACTGCCGACTGCTGGCGTTCGGTGGTCCAAATAGTTTTTTTGACACCGCGTCGGCGGCAGCAAAATGCAGACGTCGGCGATTCGATCGTGACCCGGACCCGGGTCCACCACACGCACTGGGCACCGGGGAAGCGGGCTGGGTTTCCGTGTGTGTGCCCCCAATGGAAAACCGGACCGCAGCAGCCGTCGCAGCTGCAAGTGCTGCAAAAACCTTGCCAAACTATTCCGCTGTCCAGCTTTTTCTACGAAATCAGCGCAAATGATGCACGATAAACAGTATGACCAAAAAGAGCAGGGGTGGAATCACGCGGAAGGGGCTAAAAAAATAAAATATTCGGGTATCTTTAGTCCACTCTTTCAAAAATGATGAACAGTTATTAATTATCTCAATTTCTTTATTGTTTTCCGACTTTATCCCATTTTCTATCTTTAGTTTAAGCAAGAAATTCCAATAACATTAATTTTCAGTATCAATATTACAAATATCTATCACTAGCTTAAAAATCAAATTGCTCCAGTTATGTTATAAGTAATCTGCAACTATTTTAAAATTTTTTAATAACACATAACTTTTATAATAATATTTAGAGAATGCATAAGTGTAAATTTAAAATTATTTTACAATGTAAAGAAATCTACATTTTTTTTAGTTTTATAAAACATAGCTAAATAACTTTTGTTTAATAGAAGGGCACAAAATAAAATGTAGTAAATATGATTACTACTATCTTTAATAGAAATATATTTTCTTAATAAAATAAATAATTAAATAATTTAATGCTCTAATTGACAATCGTAATTCTTTTTAATGAATACCTTTATTCACCTGAATCCGCCCCTGGATTTTGTTGGGGGCCGTGGTGGGGCTGCCCTTCAAGCGTCGATCCATGGAATTCTTCTTCTACGATCGTCTGTCACCACAACCTCCACAATTGCAGACAGCACCACCACCCATACAACCACCGAGGTTTGCTGAGGTCAGCGGTGGTGGAGGTTGTAGCGACACAAGAAACAAAAGTTTCTGTCACCCCAGCGGGTGGTTTTGCAAAGGTCAGCGAAAAGTGCGAAAGAAAGAGCCAGTGCATTTCTTCAACTCGGTACAGCGACCTTTGGTTGGCTCAGGTTCAGATTAACCAGCCTCTGATCATTATTAAATTACTCACGGCCCAACGCTATCTACATTTAATCACGATTGTTGTCGGTAAAATGCGTAAGCAATCCAGTATAAAATTGATTTTTAAAAAATATTGTAAGAAATATAGGGAAATTTATTTTAAAGATCAATTGCTACTTACATTTATTTCATTCCTATAAACAAATATAATTTTTTCTTTAAACAATTATTTTTATTACAATATTAAGAACAAGTCTTAAGTTTATTTGTATATAACTCGCTCTTATGCTTACTTTTTAAAAGACATTTCTGACTTGCCGAAAAATTGCAATGCAAACTAAACACCTTTAAAATATGTTTAGTTGTTAATGAGAAATTGGCGTAGTAATCAAATTTAATCGAAAATATTTTCTTTAACCTACATTCAGAACTTAGCTTACAATTGGCTTGCCTTACCTTGCCCTTTGCTTTATTTACACAAAACTGTGAAAGCAATAGTCCGCTGATGTTTACATATATTTAAATATTATATATTTGAAGTTAATTTATTGTGCATTTGCATTTTCAGATGCCGCCGATAGAGCTTTCAGCACGCAATTTGACCCGTCAGTTAAGTGATTCCTGTTTAGATAATGGTAATGAGCTAGTGCACAGGAAAAATTGTGTATAAGACTGCTATAAAAAAGTAACCTAAAAAACAAATAAATAAATTTAAAAATATTTTTTTTAATTAGAAAATATTGTATTAATGAATTTTAGATCTTAGATTACATTGTATAAATGTAGTTATAATAATAATAAAATAATAATAATAATATTATCATTTCATGGATATTTATGATAATGAATGTCTTCACGATTTCTTGTTGCTTGTCCTGTGTAAAAATACTATAAATTACTATACACCTTAATTAATTATTACATAACTACATAAATGTAGTTATAATAATAATAAAATAATAATAATAATATTATCATTTCTTGGATATTTATGATAATGAATGTCTTCACGATTTCTTGTTGCTTGTCCTGTGTAAAAATACTATAAATTACTATATACCTTAATTAATCATTACATTTTAGTTAGTTTTCTCTAATATTTAAAACAATGAATTTTTTTTGTTAAAAAATAATCATCTTTTTTTCCAGTGTGGCAACCCATCATGCACAGGATGGTTGGCAAAGTGCAGGACGTCAGTTGGCGAGGAGCCAGTGGTGGATCACGATGTTGCCCAGTGCGGTGCACAATGTGAGCCTGGTCTACGCCCTGGTCTGGGCCATCGATAACTTCTATGGAAGGGCCACCAGCACTCCGCTGGCGGTGGTGCAGTTCGCCACCAGTCGCGAGAGTCGGGACATCCACAACGATCTGATAGACGCCGCCCTGGTCAGATCCTCGAAAACGGGTAGAATCCAGTTCCTGCTGGAGGATGATCGCTTGGAGTTGACGGAGACGAATGCAGAACTGCCGCCACCCAGTGGGCTGACCGGCAGACCCATGGCCATTTGGTTCCTGGACAGTCTGCGTTCCTATTTCCGCCTAGAGATGTATCTCAATCAGCCGGGAAGTTCGTACAAGCGGAATGGCTACTTTGTGGTGGTCTATACTGGGCTGGAGGAGCAGCCCATGGAGTCCGTGAAGATCATGTTTCGGCGTTTGCTAAATATGTATGTGCTGAATGTGAATGTATTTCTGCAGCGAGACGGAACTGTCCAGTTGTACACCTATTATCCTTATGGTCCACATCGGTGTCAATCCTCGCTGCCCGTTTACTATACCGCCTTCCAGGATCTGCCGGCACCGGCCACGGGATATGGCCTCACCAAGCCACTCTTCCCTAGCAAACTGGTCAACCTGTACGGCTGCGAATTGGTGGCCGTCACCTTTGAGCACCAGCCATATGTGATCATCGAGGATGATCCCAAGATTCCGGGTGGACGGATCATGCGCGGCATCGAGGGCATGATCTTCCGATCCCTGGCCGAGCGGATGAACTTTACCATTAAAATGGTGGAGCGAAAGGACAAGGACCGCGGCGAAATCCTGCCCGATGGAAATTATACGGGCATTCTCAAAATGGTAAGTTGTTTTATTTATTTTAGGTTTGATAATACAAAATTAAACAATTATCTTAATATTAATTTTTTTCATTGAATAAGAAAATGGCTTAAGTAAAAATGATTAGCATCGTATCTAATATTTTCTACCTCGTATTTAAAATTATGTGTGTATACGCGAATTCTTCAGCTTTACACACTCCAGCTTTTAAATATATTTAACAAAGGTTTTAAGCATTAAAATAATGTATAAACTAATTTTGGTCAAGTCTGAATACCAAACTGGTCCTATACGTAATACAATTTTAGTTTAAATTGTATACGTAAACTTCAAGAATTCGAGTTTTGTTTAAAAAAAGAGAACAAATAACTTCATATTATTTGTTCTCTTTTTTTAAACAAATAAATACCAAATAAAATTAACGACAAATTTATAAATTGATTGTGGCCCAGAATATTTATTCCGCCAGCTGTTCATATACGTAATGCACTTATATTATATCAAGTATACGTAATCCTTTGCAGATGGTCGATGGCGAGGCGAATATGACGTTCGTGTGCTTCTTGTACAATAAGGCCCGTTCGGATCTGATGCTGCCCAGTATTTCCTATACGAGTTTTCCGATTGTTCTGCTGATTCCGAGTGGGGGATCCATGACGCCCATGCAGCGGTTGACCCGCCCCTTCCGCTACATCATATGGTCCTGCATCCTGGTTAGCCTGATCCTAGCTTTTCTGCTCATGGCCCTACTGAGGATTGCCGCTGTGCCGGTATTGCGGAACCTAGTGCTGGGCAGGCACAACACTTATCCGTATCTGGGCATGGTGAGCAGTCTGCTGGGCGGCCTGGCGTTGTACAATCCGCGCAGGAACTTCGCCAGATATCTGCTGATCTTATGGCTCCTGCAAACCCTGGTCCTACGAGCCGCCTACACGGGTCAGTTGTATCTCTTGCTGCAGGATGTGGAGGTGAGATCGCCGCTAAAAACCCTAGGAGAGGTGATGGCTCAGAACTATGAGTTCCATATGCTGCCCGCCCTGCTTCCGATCTTCCAGGGCTCGGTGCCCAGAAGCAATATCAAAACGGTGTTCTCGATGGAGACCTCATTGGCTCGCCTTCGGGACGAAGATAATCCGGGAATTGCGGTCCCGCTGCTGCAGCCCACTGTCTACGAGTTTGACTATCGATCCGGGCCAAATGTAAGGCATCTGACCGTCCTGCCGGATCCCCTGATGACCGCCCCCCTGACCCTCTATATGCGACCGCACTCCTTCTTCAAACGACGCGTGGATCGTCTCCTCTTGGCCATGATGTCATCGGGCATCGTGTATCGATACCGCAGGATGTATCTGGACCGCATCGAACGGCTGGCCAAGCGGCGCAACATGGAACCCAGTCCTCTGACCATCTGGCGACTGGGTGGAGTATTCCTGTGCTGTTCAGGACTTCAATTCCTGGCCATCCTCGTCTTTATTCTGGAACTTTTGGCCAGGAAGCACCCGCTATTAGAAAGGGCTTTGAATGCCATCAATCGATACACGGCATAAGCTATTTACTACAACAATTACACATATTTAACTATAATAAATAATTTAATAATATTAATAAAATAAAATATAAATATGGGATTCAGATTCTAGTTAAAATACTCTTATTTATTTGGGGATTTTCAACGGTAGCTCAGCCACGGTTATTATTGACAATACTTTTACAGAGCTTTTACTTAAACTCTCTCCATTAGCCAAGCTAATCCCGGCCAGCGTAGCCTTTGACTGAGCAGCTCCAGGCCAAAGACGCCAATGGAAACGCAGAGGGCTCCCATCAGGCAATTCAGGGCTGCCAGGACGAAACCCATGGACTCGGCAAATCCCGTGGCGACACTCTCATGGGTGGAATGAATCAGTTTACCCGAGGCATCCGAGGTGGTAGGCATGCTGTTCCAGGCGAGGATCTGCGAATGGTGCTGGAAAATGCCAAAACTGCGTAAGTTAAAGAGCAGATTGTTGATCTCCCAGGCGAAATAGGAACCGTATGGAAAGTATATGCAAAGCATATTGTCGACGATCTTTTCGGCCAAAATCAGAAGCTTATTGCGATGACTTCTATGTTTGACCAGGTGATCGGCCAGAAAGGTGAGACTGGTAAAGGCACCCGTTTTCGAGGAAGCATTCAGCAGAGCATCGAAAACACCCACCGGTTGTCCCGCGGAGATTGTAGTTTTCCCCCGAAAAGCCGGAAGTTTCCAGGTCATCCGATAGGTGGCGTGATCGGTAATGAATCTAAAACCACTGCTCAAAGCTTGCTCCAAAGTTTGCGGGGCGGGCTTCAATGGGGCGCTGTGTATAAAGTTGAAAACGGATGCCTCGTAACTGGCCCGAATGACAAAGATCCAGAGCATCCAACCGGCCAAAACGGGAGACGGCATCCGCCACCATCTACCCAGGATCTTGTGGAGGGCAAGGATCAAGACAAGCAACAACCAGGTGTATCTTTTAAAAGGGAACAGCATCACTTCATAGATGCTATAGCCACTCCTCACCTGCATCACTATTATATAGCCCATCTGACTGTAGGGACTCGTGGCGGCCAAGTAGGTGGACCTTTCCGGTGTGCAAGCAGCACATCCTATGGTCATATTGGCCTTCCTCTCGCGGAGCATTTTGTAGGCCCCCGTGAAAGTGCCATTAAAAAAGCTGGCTCCACCCAAAAGCCCTGGTGGTTCGTTTGGAATCAGTTTCAGGGTGAAGTTCATCTTGTGGACCAAAATACTCATTAGCTTTCCATCCAATCCATCCAGCATCTGCGTCGAATCATTCCTCTCCCAGTGAACCTTCATATAGGGCGGAATATCCCACACGATTACGCTCAACGGACAGCCATGCAGATTCTTTAATCGAGTTGGATATACGTCCCACAATTCGGCATTCTTTAGGTCGAGTTCCACTGGCTCTATGCTTCCGCAACTTGTGGGGGTGTACGGCAGGACATTAAAGGCGCGAACTCCCTGCAAACTGGGCACCAGGATTATCACGTTGATGTTGTAGCGCTGCAGCAGGAAATACCCAAAAATATTGGTCATAATGGAACGTTGCTCCGAATACGGTTTGCAATTCAGCAATACGATGACGCACAGGTTGTTGCTCTCAACGTTATCGGCAATGGCTCTAAATTGGACATGATTAAAAAATAAGTAGATAAATTAAAAGGCTTATAACCAATTGCTCTTCCAAAAAATATTGTGTGAATTTTATGGGTCTTTAAAATAATGTGATGGGGTCCAATACCAAATGAAATGCGGGTCCAATACCAAATATTAACAAATGATATTTAATATTAAATAAATAATTATCCTAGAAAATTACAACTTACATGGCCTGTTTGGCATTCTGGACGAAGAGCAACTGGGTGATCACTTGGGTGGACATCTTCCGGCTCAATTGGGAGGCCAGGACAACGGGCACTGGAGAACCCGGAGCATAAAGACTTTGGTACAAAACTCGATGCACCAGAAACACCTGATCCCTGTCCATTTGTTCGTAAGCGGTGCTAATAAACACACTAAGATTATAAACCGCAAATGCGTTGTTGAAGATCTTTTGAAGAGTGCTGGAGATCTTGGTGGCCAGGTGGTCCTCCAGAGGATGATGGTAGGGCCACAAAAAAGCCTGGGCTCCAAAAAGACCTAGGAGCACTGTCACAACACAACGGAGTTCCATGATGAAAATGAAGTATTTGGCTACATTTTTTGAGAATTTATTTGATTTAGTTTTTGGCATTCCAGGGGTAGAACTTGTTTTGGCAAGGGACTTTGGGGGTTCAATATCAATTTTTTAAGATCTGCAATGTGTACGGTGCGTCGCATAGGTTTATGACATTCCAGAAAAATCGTTACAATGTTTGACTATTATAGTACTTTTAATTTTAAATATATAATTATAATACATTTTTTATAGTAAATAAAGAGGACAATACAAATAAGCTTAGCTTGGCTTATAGCTATAAAACGCTCTTTTCAGCCACGAGATTTTACAAATCAGTTATTTGACTTTCACAAAAACGTAATCCCGAGCGATTGAAATTAATTCTAGGACCGAGCCTGTAAAGGTAATGCATTAACAAATCTGTGTTCATCACTTAAACTAATTGCTGCGTACAGGCGAGTACCCCTTGGCCACCACCCAACCATTCAACCATCCAACCATCCAACCACCTAGTCAACCCGCCACCCACGTGACCCGCTCCGGAGGCATGTGCGTGACAGGTTCCGTGTCAGTATTATGCATGAGACGCATAACCATAAATTAACACCATCAGCGGCACAGACACACACACCTGTGGGTGGTGTGGAGTGGGGTTTCAGGAGGTCGTCGGTTGGCGGATGGGTGGTTTTCCGAGGGGGGAGGTGAAAAACCCCGTCAGTGTCAGGTTCATGCAAACGCCATGTCGACCGTAAGAGGTTTACAAATAGCTGGATAATGTCCTGGCCTCCATCGCAACCACACGGTCCCTGGAAGTCACCCACACTTGGAACAAAAAATCTATCTTTACTTTGGAAAACTAAAACACATCTTAATTTTGGTTTTAGGAAAGAATACTATTTATATATGATTAGGTATTGTTCTCATAATTAATTAAGAAATTTATGAACTCTTATTTAAATATTTAAACCTTTACCTTTGGGGTACGACATTTTTATATGTTATAAGATTTTTATAAAAACATTTAAAGCAATATACGTTTCAGGATATAATACTATAAAGGAACTTAATATTATTTTTATAGTTTATTTACTTATTTATCAATTGATACTCAAATATAAAAGAATAGTGCATTAAAGGTTCGTTCATTCTTAGGCATTTTTAAATTTTGTAATATTTTTATAAAAGTATTTTCTAAAGTCTACGATTAGTACAAAACTTAGTGTCTTATAAATATTATATTATATATAGCTAAATGTTTCCCAAAGTTCTCTACTACAAGAACAGTTTTCTCAAATACACCGATCGCAGGGAGGCAAGTTCCAGGATGAAGACGATTAGGCCCACGATCAGACCCACCATTACCATCAAGAATATGGCATACAGCTCCATAATGCCCAGGATCTGGTAAGTGTGCTCGTTGCGCAGATAGCTCTCGACCAGTTCCCACCTGGCCCAAAAGGCCAGCAGACCCACGGACCTCATCCACATGATCTCCTCGTTCATCTGGTCGATGAGGAAGGAGTGCTTGGCCAGGTACATGGTCAACTGCATATTGATGATGTCCTCGGGAACGATTTCGAAGTGGGCTCCCGTTTCCTGTCGGCCTTTCTGATGGATCCTCTCCGCACTCAGGCGATTGAAGTGGATGAATATGTCCAGGGCGGAGGCGGTCACATGTTTCCTCAGCTGGTGATTGGCCTCCAGGAAGTACAGGGGATCCAACTCTGAGTTGGACTCCAACAGCCGAAATCTCATGTGCTGTACACTGGGAATCTCGTCCAGCGCCTCCTGGACAATGGGCGTCAGCACCACCGTGTAGTTCTTTTGCACCAGTGATTCAATGGTCTGTGGCCAACGATTCAGCTGGTGAGTTCGTATCAGATGGTACAGCAGTCCCTGATAGATAGTCCGGATGATCAGGGTGTACAGCATAAGCATTAGGCAATAGAGACGAGCGGTGTGCGATCTTGGGGTCTCCAGCAGCGGCATGCCCACGAAGATCAGCTCTAGATTCATCCAGGCCCGCGATCGCAGACGCTCCCTCAACATTCTGTCCACGGCCAGCTGGAGGAGGGCGGACAGGGCCACCACGCCGAGGATTCCCAGCCAGATTTGTAGGCGGTAGGGATAGAAGAGAATGTCGAAGGAGCTAAGCTCGTAGCTGGAGGCCAGGACTCCGAAAACCTCGCGGGTCTGGTGGTAATTGTTCGTCGAGGTGGCCACCGTGCTTCGACCCACCGTTTGCCTGATCCCGCCCAGAGTTAGGTCCGCCTCGCCACTTTGCAGCTGGGAAATAGGCAAGGGAAATTATTACAAATATTTTCTGCACAGAAAGAAAAATACTTAAGGATCAATTGGATGTTGTAAATTTACTTGGAACTCACCATTTCGAGGGCCTCTTCCCTCACATTTGCATTCACCTTGCGCACGGCGATGGTGAAGTTCATCTTCTCAGCGAGAGCCAGGAGCAGACGACCCTCGTAGCCTCCGTTTACCAACTGGTCCTTGTTCAGTTTTAGAAATGGCGGCACATTCCACAGGGCACATCTCAAAGGGCAACCAAAGAAGTTTCTCAACTTCCGGGGGAATAGTTCCGGTTCCACTAGCATACTACCATTATAGCGATTGATCAGCTGCGGTTCCATATCTCGACAACCCCGCTCCCCAAAGGGATAGTAACTGTAGAACAGGATGTCCCCGTTGGACTTTTGCACTTGAATACTACAGTGGATCAACTGATAGCGCCAGCAATAGTCGAAGATCAGTCGCATCTCACTCTGCAACAGACGATCCCTGGCCTGAAGGAAGATGAAGTAGTGCTCATTGTAATTGTACTCCCGGGCATAGTACTCCATCCGGATCTCCTCGAAAGCGGCAAAGGAGTCCGTGAAGATGACGTTGAAATGCCGACGACCCGGAACCGGATGCCACGGTACACCACTCTTCACATTCACGATTTGCACCGGGGCCAATCCCCATTGCCGGAACAATGTGCTCATCATCTCGTTGTAGAAATTGCACGTGTGATTGCTCCGGCAGCAGAGGGTTAGGACCAGCGACGGGGTCACACTGAGGATGTAGTGGTGGACCACGTGGAGCAGGGCCCGGGCCACGAACTCGTTGATGTGGTTCATCTGCTCCCCGGACAAATCGTAGTATGAGTTGAGCAGTGCGCTGATGTTCATCCCGCCGGGACTGGAAGTTGCTCAATGAGGGCTATCCATATCCATATACCAACCAGGTTCTTTGTTTTTTTGTGTTACTTTCAAGCTAATTACCCGGAAAAGTTCTCCATGATTAATGGTTGTGGTGCAACCAAATAGGTTTTCTAACTTTACCCGGAAAATTAGGTCAACATCGTACTTTGCCACTACTTATGTGGGTTAACCTCAATAACAATGCAAACTCCTCGATACAAAATTCTTAAGCCTATTAAAAAATTCTTTAAAAATATTTCAAGAAACAAACCATAGATATTATCTATTTCTTATTTTGAGAACAATTATATATTATTGATTTTGGAGTTACTACATTAATAAGTTTCCTTTTTCTATTAATAAATTATATATAAATCTGATATGACTCTTATTCCAATTATTTATTAGAATTTAAAAGCTCTCCAGCTCCTCCGCCGGAGGATGAGTTCCCCGGCGAACACGAGACCGGCAATGAGGTACATTACTCCCATGACGACGTAAATCCCACAGAGCTTGGAGTGGTTGATGTACCTCCGGCTGGCCAGCGGCACCTGTTCCTTCCAATGGTCGTCGACAAAGGCTGCCCGTCGCCAGGCGTGGATGAATCCACTGGTGTCCAGCCGCCGGATGCAGTCGTCCACCTTCTCGTAGAGATACGAGTGCTTGGGCATATATATTCCGACATACTCCACATTCACGTGCTGTTTGAGCACGTGATATGCATCGGTTTGACTAAAGGAGTGCAGAAAAGCTTGGGTAACATCCTGATTGGTCACGGCGAACATTTTCCCATTTCTATCCCTCTGGAGGGCATTCAAGACCTCCCAATCGGAGAAGGTGTCCACGGAATGAAAGCTATTCGGATTCCGGGACAGCAGTGGCATTTCGAGGAGCACTCGCTCGGTATTGGCCGTGCAAATACCCTCGAAACCCTCCGCCAGCAGTTGCTCCAGGGAAAAGAATGGTGTGTTATACAACTGCATGCGGATCAGGTGAAAGAGCAGGGATTGGTAGCATATCCTCAGGGGTATGCTGGCCCACAGCCAGTGGGCGGCGATGAAGCGATGCCTCCAGGGGCGTGGCAGGCGGGCCAAAGCGGCCCCCAAAAGCAGGCCCACCACCTGCAGTCCCCCGCCACCATCGTGATTTGATCTCCTCCCCGGCAGATGGAGACCCAGGTGGATGAGCAGAGCCAAGAGCAGGAGCAACCAGACGGACAGCTGGAAGGGAAATGCCAAGAGGGCGAGGGAGCTGAGGCGATAGCGATCCAACTGGAGGACGGCCACCAGGTTGGCGGAGTAGTACGACATGGGTGAGGTCAGCAGTTGATTCCGGCGAGCCGTCCTTCGGAAATAGCCCATGCTCAGGTTGGCTCTGCGCTGTAGGAGCTATAAAGTGGTAATACCCATATATATGTTTAGTTTGCTTTAACATTAAAAGATTACACCCAAAAAATATTTGCCCTGAGTTTGAGACAAATTGTTCTACATTTTAGAACTAATTTATGGAATCTATTAAATTTACATTATTTAAAAATATCTTCAGGATTATACAAATTTTCTAACGGTCTTTGTAAATTTAAAAAAAGCTGACTTTAACTCCATATAAATTACAACTGTCGAAAATGCGGGGATAATATTTTGTTGGATATAAAAATATTGAACGTTTTGGAATTTTATAAAATATGTTTTTCACTGATGAAAAAAGTAGTAAATCCAAAGATTTCATATTATATTTAAACATTTTTCGTTTTAAAAAATTTTAAGCATGTATTTTTTAAAATGTTTTTTAACATTTATAGCTATTTTAAAAATGTTCAACCTTAACGTTAATATGAAATTAAATTTAAACAACGTCAAATGTTTAAAGATAAATTGACTATTTTCGTATTTAATTCAAGTAAAGAATTTGAAACTTTAAATATTTATTTTTCATAATTTTACAGTGTTGGTATTTTGGGGAAAACAAGTTTGCTTGTTTAAACTATAAGATTATATATAAAACCTCTCAAAATATTTAAAAACTCAAGTCCAATCGATTTAAGGACTTAAGACTATCTAGACTGCTGAAAAGTCACATATTATACATACAGCTTTTTTATTTTTTCCCAAAAACCATATTATAGATCCTTAATCCTGTGAACTCACCGTATCTACGGGTCCTTCCTTGGCCCCCTCCGCCAGTCGATAGGCATTCGGTCGCAACAGCGGAATATCGACCAGCTGCAGGGTGAAGTTCATCTGGCGGGCCAAGTGCTCCACCAGCTGAAACTCGAAGCCACGTGCCCGACGGCCATGTCCTGATGGACTCTCAACGATCTCCACGAAAGGCGGCTGATGCCAGGTGAGCACTGTGAGTGGACAACCGTGCATCTGGTTGAGTTTATCCGGGAACATCTTGGAATTCTGCATCCAACGCTGGCCATCAAAGGCATTCACCACCACGGGATGAGCCTGCTGGCAGCTGTTCGCCGTATAAGGATAGTAGGTGTAGACCAGCACCTCCACCTGGGCGGTCTGGATCATCACGTTGCAGTGCAGCCAAAAGTGGGCCAAGCAATGGTCGAGGATCAGCTGAAGCTCCCGGGGAATATGGCTATCCCGCGTCTGCAGGAAGATGAAGTAGTAGTCCGGGTCATCGAAGTCCGCATTGCTTTCCGCGATGTTGGTGTCCCTGAAAGGGCATAATTATAAGTAAAACTTATAATATTATAAAATAAAAACACACATTAATCCGGCATAGGAGTCCACCATCACCAGGTTTACCCTTTTTCTACCGGGCACCGGATTGTCCACCAAATCCGGACGGAAGCGAAGCAGCTGGACAGCCACCATTCGCCACGAGTCCATCAGGTTGTGCATCATGTACTCGAACCAGTAGGAGGTGCCCAGGTGACGGGCTGAGATGGTCACCACCAGGGTGGTGCTCAGCTGGGCCAGCACATTCTGGATGACCAGGCGGAGTGCCCTGGCCACATGGGCATTGGCGTCCTCCCCCTGCAAGTCGATCCTTGAGTGCTCCAGGTAGGTGCTGTAGATCGATTGCCCGGATTCGGAACTCAAGCTGGGACTGGGATTCGGATTGGAGCTGAAGTTCATGGTGCAAAGTTGAAGGTTCGACTGCAAGGTAGGGACACCGACTTGGACTGGGTGAGTGGTTTTCCGGTCTTTCATGGTCAGATCTTAACAGAGATTACACTAATTAAAAGTAAATGTTTGAGAAAAGAAGTGAAAGAGCAAAAAAAATATATTAAATATTCTTTCCTTACAAAAATCTTTTGAATTTCGCATTACATATAGAATATTATCTAAAAAAATCAAAAACATATATTTTATATGTATTGTATTAACATATCGTTTTATTTTAAAATATTGCTTGATTTTTTTGTAATCTCATATAATACATATTGATTTCATTTAACATAAATAGATAATAAATATTTTTTTTATTTTAAATTTTAATCGGTTGTCTTAATAAAAACTCTGAGTTAAGTGTAAGGATACACAATAAGAAAATACCGGAAAACATAAGTCAAAGAAGCAATACCCACCACCTTAAAAAAATCAGACCTGGAAACACCTATGAATATACGATTATCGACATAACCACCACCTCATAGACCATAGAAACCCCGATATTAACGAATGACCAGCTGATGGCCGAAATCCCTGGCTAATTGTTCACTTCGGTGCGTGACCCACAATAGTTTTGTTTGACTTAGGGCCTAATGAGATGCAAACAGAGGCCTGAATTGGGACCGAAATTCGCCACGAGGATTGGATAGTACCGGCAGTATTCTTCCCGGCTCTCGACAGACGGACATGAACGTGACTAGCCTGCTGCAGTTCGAGTCGATGAAGTACATTGGCGCCCAGACGCAGGCGGCGGCCATAAATCAGCACGTGGCCCAGGCCCTTCGGTTCTTCATCGAGGACTTCTACCAGCGGATCGCCCCCGCCTTTATAGTGGTCCTCTCCTGCCGGCGACCCAGTCCCATGAACTTCTACCGCACCATCATGCAGCTGCTCTACGAGAGCGTGGACACCATGGTCATCCAGCTGGTCCTGGTCGAACTGGGTAATCCGCGGCGGATCGAGGGACCCAGGACGCACAATCTGCTGCTGGTGGACTCGCTAGATGCGCTGCTGTAAGAAATTTATAAACATAATGATAGAGAATTAAAGTACAAACTTTGAGTGGTATGCCATTTTCAAATCTGATTTAAATTGGCAAAGTTATGGGCTTTGGAAGTGCGGTTTTGGGTCACCCTTAGCGGGAAATAAGGGAAATAATTTCAATTTGAATTTGAAAAGAATAAAAACAAATATTAAGAGGTTTTTCATATAAAATAATAAAATTTGTTTGCTAGTGAAATGAAAGTTTGGGGTCACCATTTTGCCAAGCTATCGAAAAGTAAAATATTAGCAAAATAATATAACATCTTCAGGATTTTTATAAAATTTAAAATATATATTTAGTTGTATTTTTTTAAATCGGATTAAATTCCATAAAATATTTTGCCACAGTTTTCAATTTTGGGTCACCTTTTTCTTCCAGTCCTCGGAAATTAAAATATTTTAATAGAAGTACATAAATATAGGTTCTTAAAAAAATGTGTAAATACATTTTTTAAAAAAGTTTTATGTCACCTTTTTGATTATGTCATCAGGAATTAAAAATTATTAAAAGATATTAGTTTTTAGAGAATTAAAAACGACTATTTAACGGAATTTGTTTAAGATGGATTTAACTACTTAATTTATATGCAACAGAATGGAAATTTTGGAGTCACCTTTTCTAAATATGACATTTTAATGGCAAATTCTCATTCTAGGGACATTGAGATCCACACATATACGGCGCAATCGGACGCCAGTGAGTACTACTTCATCTTCCTGCAGCAGAGGGACGCACTGATTCCGCAGGACATGCAGGGTGTTTTCGCCTACTGCTGGCGCCACCAGCTGATCAACTGCAACGTGATGACGCAGAGTTCCGGTGGTCAGGTGCTGCTCCACACGTACTTCCCCTACGCAGCACCTGGCCAGTGCAACGTCTCCCAGCCCACCAAGATCAATCAGTTCCTGGGCGAATCGTGGCAGCATCGCGATTACTTTCCCTCCAAGTTGCACAATCTCAACGGGTGTCCCTTGGTGGTTTTGGCCAGGAGAGTGTCGCCCTTCTTCGAACTGGATGAGGGGCAACGGGAGCTCCTCGGATTGGAGGGACGACTGCTCCAGGAATTATCGCGCCGGATGAACTTTAGCATTCAGTTCGCGGGGCTGCAGGATCAGCAGAGGAATCGAACCACTTGGACGGAGAAACAACTGCTACAGAAGTTGGTGAGTTGTTAAATATCAATTTCAAATAATCATGTACTCAAAAAAGTATTAGACCAGTATTTTTGGGGTTCTAAATAAACGCAACCTTTTTGTAACTTAAAAAAAATTTCCCATAGAAACTTTTTTCAAAAAAAAAATAAAATGTTTATAGAAAGAATAATTTTTGGAGTGTAGATAAATCTGAGTTTTAAATATTATTTTTGTGTTTTCCATTTAAAGGTGTTTACATTTTTTAATAAAACATACTATAAATATAAGGTATATTTAAGGTTCTTAAGGGAACGTTCTCTTTGTTTTGGTCGAAATGAAGGCAAAATTCGTCAATTTGTTGTGGGATAATGAACTTCGGGTTTTGCTTTTTGAATTCGTTTATTATTCAAGATTTTTTTAAAATTTATTTGATGGTGAAATTCAAAATGGCGGCTGCAAAATGGCGGCTTTCGTCTGCCTCCGCGCGGCAAACATCGTCCAAAAATTCCGAGCCTGCAGCCTCTTGTAGTCAACTCAAATAGAAAATTGTTATCATTAGTTAAAGTTAATATACTTTTGTAAGGCACTAACCTAATGGCATCAAATTGCGGCCATAAATTGACCGCGTAATGAATGTTCGAACTTTAAAGTTCGATTTTCGTACATTTTTTTTCAGTTAAACCACGTTGAAAAATTATAAATAAATTATTGTTTATTTCCGGAGTAGCTTAGTGCCCAATAAAAAAGCATATACTTTCATAAAAATTTTACATGAAGCAAATCGGTTCACAGGATGAAGCTGTGGACGCGGAATTTTTTTGGAAAACATGGTTTCGAGAAAAACGCGTTTAAAGTTTTTTAAAAGTACGCAGCGCGCGTGACGCAGGTGTATTCGAGACGCTCTCATTCACAAACTATTCATCGTATCGAAAAATCCGTTCACACACATACTCTACGGATATGTGGCTTTCAATTTTTGCAAAAAAAAAATAGATTTTTTGATCCAAAACAAAGAGAACGTTCCCTTAAGTAATAAAATCGAAAACTTATTTTCGTATCGACTTATAATCCCATTTTTCAGGTCCAGGGACGTATAGCCCACCTGGCAATTGGATATGTGAGGAAGCGCATCCAGTATTCGTCGAACCTGACTCCCGTTTTCCCCCACTACTCGAACCGCCTGGTGGGATGTCTGCTGCTCAACGCCCACAACCTGACCAGCCTGGAGATCTGGTCGTTTCCCTTCCAGGCACTCACCTGGATCTGCCTGCTGTCCAGCTTGTTGAGCATCTACTGCCTGGTGCTGCTCCAGTGACGCGGGGCGGGGGATCGGGTGGCTCTCCTCCTGGCGGTATATGGCGCTGCCCTCGGTCTGCCCATCGATCCCCCAGAGCGTCCTTCGCTGCAGTTACTCTTCGCCAGCTGGCTGTATTTTGGCCTGGTCGTAAGGTCCATGTACTCAGCCCTGCTGTTCTTCATCCTGCGATATCATCTGCATCAACGATTGCCGGAAAGTCTGCAGGATCTGACCAATGGTGGCTATGCGGCGGTGATGAGCCGCTCCACGTGGCAGGATATTAGGGAGGTGCCCAGTCTGCAGGAGCTGCTGGGTCTCAGATCCCTGATTCTGTCCTCAGAGCGGGAGGAGGAGGTGTTGCGCCAGCTTGATCGGTGCTCGTTGCGCGAAGGAGCCGGCTCACATCCCCTGTATTTTGGCGTGCTCTCCCAGGATGCATTGCTTCATCTCACCCAGCGGGGTCATCGGGCCGGATCGTATCACATTATACCCCAGCATGTTCTGGAACAACAACTGGCCATTTACCTGCAGAAGCACTCGCATCTGGTGGGTCACCTGGACCAGCTGGTCATGTCCATTCGATCTGTGGGTCTGCTGCACCACTGGGCGGGTCAGGTGGCCAGCGAGCGGTACTTCCGCAGCCGGTTTCTCTACCGGGAGAAGCGAATCCAACAGCCGGATCTCTGGGCGGTCTACATCCTGGCCGTGGCACTCTATTTCCTATCGCTGGTCGTCTTTATCGGCGAACTCCTGGCCGCCCGACGAGCTGCAAATGCTGCGGGGTGACCAAAATATATCATCTTTCCTATAAATATAGCTATTTAAAAAAGCTTGCTAATAAGTTCTGGTAAAATACCATAGAAAAACGGGAATTATCATTGGGTAGTTGACTTTATAAGCAATTTTTAAGGGAAACGGAACCAAAGAAAATATTGTTGGATTCCTAGGAAACAAAAAATAGTTACAAATAATATTTAATAGAAGTTTTTTGAAGCCATTACGATTTAAAATCCATTATTATTTAATGTTTCATTATAGTTTATTTACCCAGTGAATTGGTTTTATAAAAATGTGTAAAGGTACAGAACCAAAAAAACGGGTTTGCTTTATTGAAAGTTGTTCCTAAAAAAAAACACAAAATAATTACGATATTTATTAACAATTTCTTGAACCCAAGATATTAAATCCATAAACTGTAATTTTTCACTGTTTTATTATTTCATTATCACTGGGTAATTGGTTTTATAATCAATTCTTAGTAAGAACGGAGTTGTTCCTAGATGGCAACAAAAAAATTGGTGTAAATTATATTTTTTTAAATATTATGAAACCATTATTATATTCGACCCACAAATGGTTATGCAAAAAATCGACTTCTTTTTAATTATTCTGTTTCATAATTTTATTATGCAAATCACAAGATTTCGATAAATGCGGCCAAGCGCAAAAACACTTAACAATTTAAAAAAAAACATACAGCTTTCCACGTAGTAAATGCATTTCTGGTTGAGAGCAGTGCCTCCATGTGAGCTTACAGCTTCTCGAGGAGAATGGAGGAGGCTCCACCGCCGCCATTGCAGATGGAGGCGCAGCCCAGTTCGCCCTTCTTCAGGCTGTGCGAAAGATGGGCCACCAGACGAGCTCCAGACATGCCAATGGGATGGCCAATGGAAACGGCTCCGCCGTGAACATTCACCTTGGCGGGATCCACGTCCAGTTTCTTAATGTTGGCCAGGACCACCAGGGAGAAGGCCTCGTTTACCTCCCACATGGCCACATCCTCCTTGCGAACGCCGGCTCGCTTCAGCAACTTGGGAATGGCCAGAGCCGGGGCAATGGGGAAGTCAATGGGATCGGTCTCGGCATCCTGGAAGGCCACAATCCTGGCCAGCGGCTTGATACCCGCCTTCTGGGCTGCCTCGGCGCTCATGAGGACCACAGCGGCACCGCCATCATTCAAAGTGGAGGCATTTCCGGCCGTCACAGTGCCATTCTCCCGCTGGAAAACGGTGGCCAACTGACCGAACTTGTCAAAGTTCACCCGCTTGTACTCCTCATCCTCGGCGATGACCACCTCTGGTTTTCTCTTCAGCTGGATCTTCACCGGGGCAATCTCGTCCTGGAACACCTTGTTGGCCCAAGCTGCCGCTGATTTCTTGTACGATTCGATGGCGAAGTCATCCTGCTGCTGGCGCGTGATCTCCAGTTTCTTGGCCGTATTCTCGGCACAGTTGCCCATGTGGAACTTGTTGTAGACATCCCAGAGGCCGTCGAAAACGATGCCATCGGTGAGATTGACACCGCCATAGGGCGTAGTGCCGCGCTTCAGGTAGAAGGGTACATTCGACATGGACTCCATGCCGCCAGCAACGACCACATCCGCGTAGCCAAGCATCAGGGATTGGGCGCCCAGCATCACCGACTTCATGCCCGAGGAGCAGACCTTGTTCACCGTGGTGCAGCAAACATTGGTGGGCAGACCGGCGAAAATGGCCGCCTGTCGGGCTGGAGCTTGTCCTAGACCCGCCGACACCACATTGCCCATAATCACCTCCTGGACATCGGACTTTGAAATTCCCGCCTTTTCGATAGCCGCCTCGATCGCCCGGGCTCCCAATTGGGTGGCCGTCAGTGGGGCCAATTGGCTCTGGAAGCTGCCAATTGGTGTGCGGGCGGCGGAGACCACCACAACCTCGGCGATTTTGGAGCTGTAGGCACGCTGGGCGCTCCAGCGACGCGTGGCCTGCAACAGTCGGGCGGACATCTTGGAATTTAATTAAGTTTATTAACTAGCGCAAGCGAGCACACTTGGAAATAACAAGAATCTAATCAGAATCCAAGCAGAAATCACACCAGAACCTGTTGCTTGCGTAACAAACCGGTAATCGGCCTATCGATAGGCAACAGCTGGCGCGGAAACAGTTCTGACAACTTGGTGGATAACAAAGCTAGCTATAATCGGAAAATAGCTAGAAGGTACTTGATTTTTATTTTAATTTAGTTTTGTAAAGTAAAATTATAACAAAGTTTTAGAAAACCATTATACTTTAATATTTTTATGTTTTAGCTCTAACTTAGTCAAAAAAATATATACCTTTTTTTTATCAACCAGCTGCTTAAAAGCTAGATTAGATCTGAAAAAGCCAAGTCTAAGCTTCGTTTTTACATTATGCAGCACTAAAAATGCGTTAATTGAATTTAACGGAAGTTCTTACAAGCAAGAAATTTGAAATTTTGAGATTAGAATTTACCTTTTTAAATTAAAACTTTCCAAATGCTTAATGAAAATAGTTATCTCCACAGCATTATAATATTTATTTTTGTATTTTTTTCTGCTATAATCAAACCACCTTCAAATTAAAATCCAAAAAAACTATCATCATAGTTATAATTGTTTTTTATTTAATGCAAAAATCCTGCATAAATAGATTTGTTTATGTAACTAATTCAAATTGCACAATGAATGGCATCGAAAAAAGTTCAGATCTTACTGCTAATAATACGATTGCAGAATATGGCAAAAAAAAGTTGGTGTATAAAAAAAAGGAATATATATGTATATTACGGAACTTATTCCACATCACAACGCTCGTAGTTTCCATGGTTGCCATGGCTCCTGGACTCCACAACTCCTTAGATCCATCTGCCCTGATCAGATCACCATCTGGTCACGCGTTGATAGCTTCTGATGGCCACTGGCCACCACCAAGGATCGCCGCATGCGATTCCGCTGGAGCGTGGAGTTCCGCTCCCTCACCGATTGCCTCAGATGCTGGCGACGTGCTCCTCCGGGTCCGCATCCGCCTGCTACTCCAGCTCCTCCGCCCGCCTCCCTTTCCGCCGCATTCATGGCAGCCAGCAGTTCGAAGGCCTGTTTCTTTTGCTCCTTGGTCCAGAGATTGGCAACCGGAGGAGCTGCTGCCGGTTGTTCCTGGGTGATTGGTGGCTTGAGGGCCAACGGAGGTCGCTGCACGCGAGTTGGAGCAGCCTGTATGACAGCCTGATTCACCGCTGGCAGGGATTTAGAAGCCGCCTTGGAACCGCGACTCAGGCCGAAAAGGGAGAGTATGGACTTCCGGCGGGTGGTGGAGGCCTGGCTGTCACCGGAATCATTGCTGGATACGCTCATCTGCATGGGAACGGCTGCGGGCTGGGGCGGATTTAAGGCCTGATTAACCACCGCCGGAGGAGGCATGTTCTCAATGCCGTAGGTGACAAACTTCTGGGGCGACTGGAAGGTGACCTTGCGCAGAGTGTTCAGGGATTTGGGAGCCGGCAGAGTAGCCAAATTGAGTTTGGCCACCGTCGGCGATGTTTCATTGAGTTCGATGGTACAATAGGTGTCATCGTGATGAGACTTCAAAGGCTTCCTAGGCGGAATGGGCGGAGCAATGGGTTGTCTGCAACTGCAGGTGGGCTTCTCCTGCTGGAGGAGTTTCTCCTGCAACTGCCGCTCCAGACCTTGGACACGCTGCTCGGCCAGCTGCAGCTCCTGCTCCCGGGCCTGTAGCTCCTCCAGTTTTTGCTGCAGCAGGGATTCCTGAGCACGAATGGCATGGAGACGGGTCTTCAGCACCTCATCGAAGATGTTTTGGGTGAGGGCACGCGGGCTGTTAGTAGTCTCCCTAAGCTGCTCCTTCCTCAGGTTTTCCTGGTCCTTCTTCTGCTGCTCCTGCTCCTTCTCCCTTTTCCGTCGCCTTTCCTCCTCCAGCTCCACCTGCCTCTCCTCCGCTCGCTCCTCTCTCCTTATACTTTCGTATAAGGCGGGATCTGATAGCTGTAGCTTCTTGGAGGGAAAGATCTTTCGCTTGGCGGAATAGAAAAGCTCACTCCTCAAATCTGGGGTAAAAACACCAGTGACACTGAGCCTCCTTTGACCGTAGCCCTCATTGAAGCTATACTGTTCCGTAAACAAAGTGCTGGATAGTTCTGGAGGCACCTCCTCCTCCTCTTCCTCGTCCTCAAAGAGTCTTCCGCCCGTGGGCAACGTGTAGAAATCCTCGCCTGCCTCAATTAGACTCGGGAACTTGCCATCCAGCTCGCTGATATTACGCACCACCAAGGGATGCCGAATGATTACCTCGATGCCTGGACGTTGTTCATGATCCACGGCCAGCATGAAGGCGATGATCTCCTGCAGATCGGCACTGTAAACCGCGGGAATCCGGCTGAACTCGCCCTGGGCGATGTTCTCCGACAGCTGGTCAAAGGCTCGTCCACGGAACGGCGGTCGCAGGGCGCACATCTCGTAGACCAGACATCCCACGGCCCAGACATCGCTCTTTCGGTCGTACTTCCTGCCCCTCACCAACTCCGGGCTCATGTAGTGCGGCGTGCCCACAAAAGAGGCGGCAAAGCTTTGATCCCGTCGCAGCATCCTGGCCAGACCGAAATCCCCCAGCTTGGCATTCCCAGCCGCATCCAGGAAGATGTTGGCCGGCTTGATATCGCGATGCAAGATGGTGCCGTTGGGTATTTTGTTGTGGCACACCTGCAAGGCACGGCAAAGCTGGAAGAGCACCCGCCAGATGTAGGGCTCCTCGAAGCGCTGCCTCTGGGATCTGGCTCGCTGGACAATCTGGGCAAGATCGCCGCCGGCACAGCACTCCATCACTATATATACCGATTTGGCCTCCCGATTCACCAGATGATGGTAGTACTGCACAATGTTCGGGTGCTGGAGCTGCCGCAGAACACTGATCTCGGATACCAAGGCCTCACACTTGGCCTCGTCCAGCTCATCGTAGTTCATGCCCTTCCAGGCAAACAGCTCACCGGTGCTCTTGTCCCGCACCTTATAGCAGGTGCCGAAGGATCCATTGCCCATCACGGCCAAAACCTCGTAATCCTGCAGGGTCTTCTGCGAAAAGTCCATGCCGGCAGATTCCTCACCGCTCATTTTTGGTAGAATTGTTAACTTGTTATTATTCCGCCGCCTATTTTCGTTCCGCTCGCTATAAAATCTAAACTCGAACTACTGAGACTGGTTTTTGGGATGCAGGATTTTGGAACTCGACTCTTTCTGGAATTCCCATTTTCGGCTACCTGCAAAAACCGGAGAGAGCAACAACAAGTGGACGAGGGAGAGGGACGAGTGCTGAGCACTTGTCATTGGCTTGGCCCGCCAAGTCTGGCTTGAGAATATAGAAGTATTGAAAAATATTGTTTTCCGTCTAGATAATACATGAATAAATATTAAAAAAAAAAATTATGAGGTACATTATTTGGAGGATTACCTTGTAATAGGTACTAACATAAGCATTTTAATTACAGGTCTTAAAATATTAGATTTAATTAGGATCTTCAATTTCATTAAATTATTGTTAGAAACTATAAAATGTTTCGGCAAAATATAGAAGCCTTTAGCAATGCCTGAAATATGCAAGGCTAATTTTGATTACATTTTAGCAGAGTCATTACAAGACCAATAACACTGACCTTCGTACGAAATTACCCTGTCATTTTTATAAAATCATTTCGCACCTACATGTTAATGCACAATATAGCTATTTTCTCGCCAAGAGCAGCCAGCACTGTCCTGTTATTCCAGCACGTCCCGCTTCTCTCGTTACCTTCCAGGAATGAAGATCATTCTGCTGCCCTCTCGCTCACACCACCAAGCCGATGCAGACACTTGCAAATCTCCTGCATCTCCCTGTCCCGCTCACTCTCTCCCCCGCTGTGAGAGAGTGAACTTGTGAGGCGAAAATCTGGAAAATCCCCACCCCACCCCCTTCCACGCGATCCCACTGCGCCTGTGTACACACTGCTGACCATCGAGACAATGGGCTAGAAAGAGCCAGCACGCCCAGGAACCCAATTCCAGCGATTCATCACGCTCAATTCTGATCCCGAATACGAAACCCCTAACCCTGGACGGGCCCATAAAAATAAATTAGTTTTGTTGCACTGGCATTTCAATTTGCTGCCTTGTTTGGAAAAGTGGAAATGTCCTCATCGTATTTCATAATCCATATCTGAAGGGGATTCTGTCTAACGGTTTCGACTGGAAGCACTTGGGAACTCAAGCAGGGGCGTGCGAAGGACAATTTTTGGGGCCATCACTTGTCCAGTGATTTTACCGCAAAATTTCTGGGAACAAATTGTAATAGACGTTTGTTATTAAATATCTCATATGTCCTCTGTTCTTCATTATTGAAATTACAAAAAATAAGTTTCCAGGTAATAAATATATGATTACTGCTAAACTTTATGAAAATTACTAAATAGTTATATTTTGTAAGCCTAGACGAAGAGGCGACGTAATAATTTAATTTAATAACATTAACGGATTCCTTATACATTTTAAAATTAAAAAAAAATCATTAACACTATATTCAAACATTTTTGATCAGTTGAACTTCATTACTACGTAGTTAAACGAAACAGAAAGGAACATTTTTGGGTAACCACTATTGATTTGATTTATGTGACATATCTGAGAATATCTACAATAATGGTAGTTTGGAGGTCTACAAATGCCCTCCCAAAATATCCTACCTACGCCCCTGATCCGAACTTTGCAAAACTCACATATTGCCCTCTTGCTCGCTCCCGCCGTGATGCCCAGGTAGAATCCCTCGAAAAACGAGTTATCTCCATGGATTTTCATGGTTTTCGGCTTATCGTTAGACGTGTGTTGATGTTTTTATGGTTTTCCTGGGTAAAACAAACAATGCTACGCAATCCTTCACAAATAAATCACGTTCCTAACCGCAGATCGCCTCCTCCTCCGCAAATGCAGGTAAACAGACGACGACAGGCGATTTTCACATTTCTCCGGTTTATTGGTTAACAGTGAGTGGGGAAAAAATAATATAATGGGATAGCGGATAGCGATGCTGGGCGGGATTAATGCCAGGACTACCAGGATGGTGCCTTATCCGCGCTGCCGTCAGAGCGGCCGTACAGGGCGCTCTTATCCCGGAACATGGTCATGCGGTCCGTCTCCTTTTTGTCCAGGAAGTGCCCGATGGCGAATCCCAGCAGGGGCAGTGCGCCCCACAGTGCTCGCTTGTCCAGTCCTAGGACCATGGTGTCTCCGCTCTATATATGGGGGTTGGAGCGTCTATCGCTGATTCCTTAGCTGGGCGCTTTGTGCCAACTGAAGCTGCTGGCGTTTCCACTCGCGGGTGTGCGACCAATCTGCGTAAATCGAGCCGACTGCAACAGTGGGAAAGAATATCACTGCGCCGTACTTTCGAGCCAATTGCACCACAATCCCACTGCCCATAGGTCTGCAAGACAAGCACACGAGATGGGGATTTGTGAGACACAGGTGTAATGTGCGTTGGGGTTTTTGTTATGTTATGGTGAGAATTTTGCCGGATTACGTAATGAAAATGAGTGATATCTCCCAAGCGGCGTGTTAATTAAGTGCGTTTCGTCGAACCCTTCTTACACCGTGTGTGCGCCGAGTCTTCAGTTACGTTTCGGGGTAAGTTTCCCTTGATTTTAGTCTCCAATTTGCTAAATTAGTGTTGTTTTCAACTTACTTATAGCATCGATAGCACCAGGGCTGTCGACTCGTTTTTAGTTCAATGAAATTGACAGCGGTTGCCTATCGATTATCAGTAACGGGGATGCCACCTAGCGAAAAGTTATAGAACCAGCTAGAAAATAGCTAGGTTCTATTTTGAGGAAATGTAAACGTCCGAAACTCAAAAAATAATAAATAATAGTTTAAATACCTAATACAGAAGATTTTACAGATAAATAATTAAATTAATAGCTTGAGGTATACATGGCAAATGTAAGCCCGCTAAAACATTTAAATCCAAGGCGTCTATCGATAAGTGGGCTTGCACTTATCGACCATCGGCCGCCCGTCAATTGTTTTCATAAATTGACGTGTCGTGTCAAATGCGAAAAAACCCAGAATAAACCGTAAACACACTCGCATGGAGTTCCTGAAGAGTGGCATAAAGACGGTGCTGGGCGGCACGGAGCCGGGCCAGCAGCCGAGTGCCGCTGAGACGGTAGAGAAGCTGGTGGACCGCGTCTACTCCTCGACGCTCCTGGAGGATCGGAGGGATGCTTGCCGGGCGCTGAAGGCCCTGTCCCGCAAATACCGCATAGAGGTGGGCGCCCAGGGCATGCCGCCGCTGGTGCAGGTGCTCCAGAACGACGGACAGGATGCGGAGATCATCAGCTATGCGCTGGACACCCTGTGCAACGTGGTAACCAGCGAGGAATTCGACGAGGAGGCCGACAATCCCACGGTTTCGGTGAATGTGGGCGAACAGTTCACGGAGATGTTCATCAAGACGCCAGAGCATGTCACCCTGGTGATGGGCTACCTGGACGAGTATGATTTCCGGGTGCGTCGCGCTGCCATACAACTGATAACGTCCCTCATCTCGAACAAGACGCGGGAACTGCAGGATCTGGTCCTGGTCAGCCCCATGGGCGTGTCCAAGCTGATGGATCTGCTGACGGACAGTCGCGAGGTGATCCGCAACGATGTCCTGCTGCTGCTGATCGAACTGACCAAGGGCAACTCGAATATCCAGAAGATTGTGGCCTTTGAGAACGCTTTCGATCGCCTGTTCGAGATTGTCCGGGAGGAGGGCTGCTCCGATGGCGGCATAGTGGTGGAGGACTGCCTGATACTGCTACTGAATCTCCTTAAGAACAACTCCAGTAACCAGCAGTTCTTCAAGGAGGGCAGCTACATTCAGCGTTTGGCACCGATGTTCGAGCTTTCCCAGGATACGGAGGAGACGGGCTGGTCGCCGCAGAAGGTCTCGAACTTTCACTGCCTGTTGCAAGTGGTCCGGGCACTGGTCACACCCAGTAATCAACAGCAGGTGGTGGCCGCCTGCCAGCGTGTCATGCAAAAGTCCCGGCTGCTCCATGCTCTCTGCGAGATTCTGATGAGTAGCGGTGTGCCAGCGGATATACTCACGGAGACGATCAATGCCGTGGCCGAAGTGGTGCGCGGCGATCGCGATAACCAAGACGAACTGGGAAGGGTTATGGCCCCGAGCAGTCCACCCAGACCGGCCATTGTGGTCCTGCTAATGTCTATGATTAATGAGAAACAGTTGCTCGCTCTGCGCTGCGCCGTTCTCTACTGCTTTGAGTGCTTCCTTTACCGCAATGCCGATGGCCAACGGGCGGTGGTGCAGACCCTGCTGCCCTCCAGTACCTCCGATGTGAGTGCCCTTTCGACGGGCCAACTACTTTGCACCGGACTCTTCTCTACAGACGCTCTGGCCAACTGGTTCTCCGCCGTGGCCCTGATGCACTCCCTCGTGGAGAATGTGGCACTCAAAGAGGAACTTCTGCGCGTTCTGCTGGCAACACCCGGTGGACAAAGGCCCATCACGCTGCTCGAGCAGTGCACCAATCTCATGCAGCAGGAGCGCTACCGTTTGCAAAGCAAGGTAGGCCTGCTAATGCTTCTCAGCCTGTGGCTAGCCCACTGCCCGGGAGCGGTGAAGGCTCTGCTGGAGACGCAGGGCACCATGGCCTATCTGACGGCCCAACTCTGCTCCAACGAGCACGACGAACGCGAGTTCCTGGTCCAGGGCATGTGCGCCTTCCTCATGGGCCTGTGCATCCAGTTCAATGACAACTCGCTGCCCGGCCAGAAGCGCGAGGACATCAGTCAGCTGATCATCAAGCGAATTGGTCAGGAGAGCTTCTGCAGCAAACTGGGCGAGGTGTCGCGCCACGAGGCCTACAGCAGGGCCTGCAAGCAAGCGCAGATCCGGGCCAAATCCGCCGGAGAACTACTGCTCGACTACGAGTACTGCAAGCTGTACAAGGGCTTGGAGGCTCTGATTGCCAAGCTGGTCAGCGGATTCGATGTGGATGGCATTGAACTGACGGAACTCACCCTGAGCTCGGAAGCTTCTGCTCTGGTCTCCCAGTATAAGGGAATTATTCGCGGCATGGATGCCCAGATTCAAGCCCTGCAGCAATCCTCCAAGGAACTGGAGCAGGAGAATGCTGAGCTGAAGGAAAAACTCGGTGAGGAGCAGTCGCTCAAGGCGCAGCTTTTGGACCAGAACACACTGCTTAAGGCGCAGCTGGGAGCCTCGGCGGGTCAGGTGCAGTCCACCCCGGGATCGGAAGCCACAACGGCCAACGAGGAGGAGCTGAATGCTGCTCGCTACCAAGCCAACATGTACTTCGCCGAGAATATCCGGCTGACCAAGGAGCTGGAGACGCTGCGTCAACAGTTCTCTGCCGAAAAACAGCGGGCGGATGCGGCGCAGGAATCCCTTGCGGCCACGCAAAAGGATCAGGAGGATCTGCTCGAACTGCTGGCCGACCAGGAGGCCAAACTGACGCGATACGAGGAAGCAGCTTCTAATGAAGCTCCCAGCGGGCCGGCAGCCGAGGAGGAGAGTCCCATCCCAAGTGGCACCGCCAGCAGATAAGGATCCTTTTCCGGATAACTTGCTGACCACGTATTACAACAGAATACTGCTCGACTGCCCAAAAAACCCCTTACCTTCTTATATACACACATTCTACTTGTTTTTATTTATATATATTTTACTTACGTACAGAATATATGTTTAGATCGGAATTTAAAACCAATGCAAGATTGTTTTGGCGGGAACTGCAGGAAATCGCAAGAGATAGCTACACATCCGCGCACGTTTTTTGCTTCCATCTCTTTCCAATCTGTCCTTAACTTTTTGTTTGCTTAGCCAATGGGTTTCTTTCTTATTTTTTGATGGCCAAATAATACCCTTTTTAGACAAATTTATTGTAGGGGTTATTTGGCAATAATGCTTGTATTTAAAAATAATAGTATATTATTGTTTACTTTAAGAATACTCCTTTAAAACTTTTTGGACCCAGCTTTTCGCAATCTATTCTAATTTGGATGTTCCTTTTGCAGAAAATAAAAATATATATACGTATAATCATCAGCTAAGAATGCCAAACCATGTTTCAAATAAACTATTGTCAGAACTGTTGCATTTACCTGACGGAAAAATTGAATAAATAAATTTAAATCAATTTATTGAAGTTCCCAGATTATTTTTTTGTTTTTCCATTGGGGGGACACGTCTATCATCTGATGAGATAACTGATTGGATAGTCTGCTCATCTAGTATGGCCCTCAAAAATCTACAAGTTCAACACAAATACACCGCATTGTATACCATTTTTTCACATTTATTTAACGTAAATGGTTACAAAAGTTTCTTTTATCCTCTCGTAGATCATTTTGATCCGATCTACGTTCAGTTTCTGCTTAAACGAAGAATGTGGGTTCCGTGTCGGCGGCATTTACTTCTTGTCGCTCGAGATGGAGCTCTTGGACTCGCGGATGGAGGCGGAGCGGCGGCGCTTGGCCTCCTCGCGCTTGGCCTTGGACTCCTTCTTGCGCTGCACCAACAGCTTGGCGTAGTCGGCGGCAGCCTCCTTGGAGGCGGTCTGGCGCTTCTTCTTCAGCGCAATGCGACGGTGCTTGCGCTGCAGCACAACGGGGGTGATCAGGCGCTGGATCTTGGGGGCCTTGGAGGTGGCCTTCTTGTTGTCCTTGGCGGGCAGAGGGCGACGCACCACAAAGCGACGCACATCATCCTCCTTCCTCAGGTTGAACAGCTTGCGGATCTTGCTGGCACGCTTGGGTCCCAGGCGACGTGGGACGGAGGTGTCGGTGAGGCCGGCGATGTCCTGCTCGCCCTTCTTCAGCACAACCAGAGCCAGCACGGACATGTTGGCGTCCACGATGCATCCGCGCACGGACTTGCGCTTGCGCTCGCCAGTGCGGCGTGGGCGGTAGCACGAGTGTCCCTTCTTCAGGAGCAAACGCACACGACCTGTGGGTTGGTGAATGTGTAAATTAGTAGGGTCTTCTTCAGGAGGTTTTGTGGATATGGCCAGTGATTGGAAGTCAACTAGGTGGGATATCAAAGAAGGCTAAATTACTTGGTTCACAAAAACCCCAACTATTGTATCAAAATAAGTTTCCTTGACTTTCTTTATACACCTATACCCTACCTAGGTTATGTTTAAAAATGTGTTTTAATTGTTACAATAGATTAAAAAATTCTAGGTGAATATCTAATTGATACATTTCCCACTTTTTAAGTACAACCTTCTGATATAAAGTTACTAAACTACTATCTATAAAGAATTTATAAGCTAAATTCCGAGGATGAATCAATCATACCATTAACGAAATATACACAAACTTGAAAGACGCCAACCCAGGTTATTTTAGGAAACCCTTTTTATAACGAGATAATGATAAATCTCAAGATCTTGTTCTAGGTTATGTTAGGGAACCCTTCTTATCGAGAGACAGATCTATATCTCAAGGTCTTATGCTGGGATATGATATTTACCATTGACCCATAGATAGGTTATGTTAATAAACAATTTTGGATTTCCAATTACTTCCCAGTAAGGTTTCATAAATACTAATCCTTTAATGGAAACTGATAGTATGTTATAGATCTGGCGCTACAAGGGTTACCAGAAAGTTATGCCGGTAACCCATACAAAACCCATATCCCTCCAATCACTGCGAATCCCAAAATGCCG